ACACAAAGCAGGTCTGGAGGAGTGGCTCCAGTGGTAGAGTGCCTGCCTAGCAAGTGTGAAGCTTTGAGTTCAAACCCAGTACCACCAAAAGAAAGAGAGAAGGGATTTGTATTTTACGTGCATTTAAAAAAGCACATAAAGTACCTAGTTAATTATTTTACTTAAAAAAAAAGAAAACAAAAGAGAGAGAGGAAGTAATCAAGCATATGTATTGCTGCTTATTGGTGAAGTAAGATGATCCTGGAAGTCATTGGTAACCTTGAGCAGAGCGGTATTGGTAGAGTAATAAAGGCAAATGTTTGATTGGAATGGGTTCAAGAGAGAAAGAGAAGGGGAGAGGCTGTGTCAGAGAACCCTTACTACTTACCAGATATCCATGAGCAACCCACATTTCCCAGCCCCTCTGGCCATGTCACTAGTTCAACTAGCCAATCTTGGTTCTAAAGTATTTAAAAAGGGGTACATGATCTTCTAGCTCTGTTTTCCCCTGCCAGGTGATGTGGAAGGCAGTGTTCCAAATGACCATGCTGGAGCTGGCCAAGTGGCAAGTGGCTCAGGTTGTAGAGTGCCTGCCTAGCAAGCATGAGGCCCCGCGTTCAAACCCCAATGCCACCAAAAAAAAAAAAAAAATCCAGATGGCCGTACTACAAGGTGCTAGTACCTTGGATCACTGCTTGGAAGGGAGCCATTCTACCAAACCCACAGTAGATTGTGTGTGAGCAAAAAATAAACCTTTAGCTGGGTGCCAGTGGCTCGTGCCTGTAATCCTAGTTACTTGGGAGGCTGAGATTGGGAGGATTGTTGTTGAAGGCCAGCCCAGGCACATAGTTCTTAAGACCCTATCTTGAAAAATACCCAACCCAAAACAGGTTGGCACAGTGGCTCAAGTGGTAGAGTACCTGCCTAGCAAGGGAGAGGCCCTGAGTTCAAACCCCAGTACTAACCAAAAAAAAAAAAAAAAAAAAAAAAAGACCAAAATAGACCAGAGGCATGGCTTAAGTGGTGGAGCTCCTGCTTTGCAAGTGTGAAGCCTGGAGTTCAAACCCCAGTCCCACAAAGAAACAAAACCAAAAAACCATAAAAACACCTTTATATGTAACACCTCTACCATTTTGACATTCACCTGTTACATAGCATAGTCCAGAGAACTTGATTCATACAAATTCCAAATGTTATTGACTATTTTGAGAAGGTTTCTTTGTTATAAATGACAGCAGAAGCCTAGCATGGTAAAAGGTACATGTAATCCCAGCTACTTGGCAGTCTGAGGCAGGAGGATCACAAGTTCAAAGCCGACCTGGGCAAATTAATGAGACTATGTCTTAAAATTTTAAAGAAAGGGCTGATGATGTATCTCAGCAGTAGAACACGTGCCTAGCCTACTCAGGCTCTGGGTTCAATCACCAGTACTGCACAAAAAAAAAAAAAAGGACTGGACTGGACTGGCAGACTAGTGGGGTGGCTCAAGTGGTAGAGCACCTGCTTAGCAAGCATGAAGCCCTGAGTTCAATCCCTAGTACCAGGACTGGTGGAGTGGCTCAAGTGGTAAGACCACCTTCCTAGCAAGTATGAGAACCTGAGTTCAAACCCCAATGCCACAAAGAAAAAAAGAAGTGAAATGGTGTGGTGGCTAGAAGGGTGTGTTTTAACTTTTTTTTTTTCAGTATCTGCTTTTGAACTCAGGGCCTCCCACTTGTGAGGTAGGTGCTCTACCACTTAAGCCCTTAACTCTTTTTTTTTTTTTTTTTTGCAGTACTATGGTTTTAAACTCAGGGCCTCACAGGTGCTCCACTTGTTCTACCACTTGAGCCACTCCAATTCTGTCTTTTGTGTTTAGCATTTTTGAGATAGAGTCTTGTTTTTTGCTTGGGTTAATGTTGAACCATGGTTTACTGATCTCTGCTTCCTGCGTAGCTAGGATTACAGGCATGAGCCACTGGTGGCCTGGCCCTTAACTTTTTTTTTTTTAATTTGTGGTACTGGAGGTTGAACTCAGGACCTTGTGCTTACTAGGCAAGCACTCTGCCACTTGAAGCACACCACCAGCCCCAGCCCTTAACTTTTTAATTGAAATAAAACAAGCATACAGAAAAATTCACAAATCATAAGTACAGATGCTTTTCAATGTACAATGGGGTTATGTCCTAATAAGCCTGTCATAAATTGAAAATGTTGTATATTGAAATGCATTTATTATACCTAACCTATCAAAAATCCTAGCTTAGCAACACAGTACACTATAGAATATTGGTTGTTTCCCCTCATAATCATGTGCCTGACTGAAGTTGTGGAGTGTTGCTGCTGCCCAGTCTGTAAAGAGAATATTGTACTACATATGGATACCCTGAGGGGAAAAATTAAACTTCAAATTTCAAAGTGTGGTTTCTACTGCGTGTGGATTACTTTCTTTTTTTGTTTTGTTTTATTCTGAGACAGGGTCTCTGTAGCCCAGGCTAGCCTCAAACTAGCAATCCTCCTGACTCCCAGAGTGCTGGGATTATAGACGTTCACCATCGTGTCTGGTCTCTGTGTATCACTTTCACACCATCTAAAATCAACAAATTGTTAAGTCAAGGATCATCTGTATAGCTCAATGAATTGTCATAAAGTGAATATACCCAAAGGAGAGTGCTTTGAAGATAGAAGAAACATCGAAAAGGGGAAACTGATAATCAGAACAAAGAGGGACAGCTGCTGAAGCTATGTGCTTCTGTAGGCCAGAGGGATGGGGATCTGGTGCACACGTGGAGTGGAGTTAGCCTCAGGAGAGCATGAATATCTCAGCTTTAGTGAGAAGAGAGAAAACAGAGTCTGGCAGATGAGGCAAGGTGGTAGTGGGAGTCTGTGAAATTTCTCTTATGATTTTTATCTTCTCAGTGGTCATTTGCTGATAATGCTATACCCATGACATCCAGTAGAGGTCACCTCCTTCTGGCCCTGGAAGGAACTAGAAATCAGACTAAATTTGTCCTGGCCATCAGATGGACACTGAGAGTTGTCATGTGTATAGTTGTTTTTATTGTTTGTTTTGCAGTGCTGGTGATCAAACCTAGTCCTTGCACATACTAGGCAAGCATTCTACCACTGAGCGATACCACAGACTCTGTAGTTAAAAAAATTTTTTTTCTTTTTCTATGTTTTTTTGAGACAGGGTCTAACTCTGTAGCCCAGACTGATCTTGAACTCATGATCCTCCTCCTTCAGCCTTCCAATCAGTGGGATTACAGGCGTGTGTGTGCCACCATGCCTGGCTGTAGATTTTAATCAGTAAGGGAAGCCCTTTACCAATTCAAGAAGTATGAAAGAATATTCAGAGAAGATCAGGGCACCAGCCTAAAGAAAACCTGTTTGTTGTGTCTCACTTCTTTCTCTGCAAGCACCAAAATACCCAAAAAGAAATATTGATCAACTCAGTTTTTTCTTTCTTTTTTTTTGTTTCAACTCAGTTTTGAAAGAGGAAATTTTCAGGGTAAGTCATAGAGTGGAAGAAATCAGGTTATAGAATTATTTCAACTCCCATATTCAGTGTTTCTTTCCTGTAGTAACACTGAGCAAGCAAGCTGCTTAAACTCTCAACTTCAGTTCTTTCATCTGTATACTAGGTTGATAGAACACTGTCTCAGAAGAGAATGCTCAGGATTATATAACTTAACCTACATAAACTTCTTAGCATGCTACCCTGACACTTAATAAGTGTTAGCTGCTGTTATCAGTTTGTTTAAAAAAAATTGCAGTTTATATTACATATAGTTTTTTTTTTTTTTTTAATGGTACTGGGGTTTGAACTCAGGGTCTACACCTTGAGGCATTCCACAAGCCCTTTTTTTTTTTTTTTTTTTTCTGTCATAAGTTTTTTCAAGATAGGGTCTCTCAAACTATTTGCCCGGGCTGGCTTTGAAACTCAATCCTGCTGATCTCTGCCTCCTGAGAAGCTAGGATTACAGGCATGAGCCACTGGCATGTGACTATATGCAGTTTTTAAAAAAACCATGTATACTTTTTATGTGTCAATTTAAAGATAAAAATACAAAAAGAATGGACTAGAAGGAAAGACGCTAAAGTGTGGAAAAGTAAAAGATCCTGAGTGGTAGAAAAATGACAATATATCTTTTCTTTTTTGGCAGTACTAGGATTTGAACTTAGGACTTCACACTTACCATTCAGGCACTTGATTGTGTGGTTGAGCCACACAACCATCCTGATACTTCTTTCTTTACATTTCTGTATTTCCTACGAGTATGTCTTCCTTGTAAAATAGGAAAAGGGAGCTGTGGGTATGACTCAAGTGGTAGAGTACCTGCTGAGCAAGCACAGGTCCTAAGTTCAAACCCCAGTACCACCAAAAAAAAAAAAAAAAAAAGAAAAAGAAAAAGGAATATAATACTTAGGTTTTTAGGAGAGAATACTCATACTCAGAACTCAGGGATTTTACTTAATATGGCCCTGGTTTTAAAAAAAAAAAACAAAACTGTTTTTTTGTTTGTTTTGTTTTGGGAGTGTTTGTGTTTTTACAGTGAAAATGATAGTAAAATTTATTAGGAAAGGAATACATTTTCAATAAACTGAAAGCAGATTGTCTCTGGAATGAGACCAAGAACAACCTTGTTTTTGTTTTTTTGTTTTTCATTTTTGGTGGCACTGGGGCTTGAACTCAGGGCCTTGTGCTTGCTAGGCAGCTACTCTACCACTTGAGCCAAATCTTCAGCCCTTGCTTTTTTGTTTTTGAAGCAGGGTCTCCCTATATAGCTCAAGCTGGCCTGGAACTTTAGATATTCCTGTCTCATTCTCTTGAGTGCTGGAATTACAGATGCGTGCCACCATGCCCAGGTAAAATACCACTGTTAATTATGCCAGTGACTCAGCCAATTGCATCTCACACACACACATTTCCATGATGCTTTTTTTTTTCTTTATTCATTTATTCATATGTGCATACATTGTTTGAGTCATTTCTCCCCTGTGCCCCCAGCCCCCTCATGATGCTTTTTTTTATCCCACAGGAGAACTCAAAGGATGGCTGCTGACATGCAGAGGAAGAGAAGCAGTGAATGTCCTGATGGCACATTGGCTCCTTCTGATGGGCAGAGTCTGGAAAGAGCTGAGAGCCCTACGCCAGGACTGTCCCAGGGGATGGAGCCAGGTATGGGCAGAGTGTGCTACTCCAACCAGCTAACAGATGGAACAGCCAGCCTCTAAGGGGAATCAGGAATCATACTCATTCATGCATTTGTTCATTCACTCATTTGGTATTTGTCGGATGCTGGGAATACTGCAGGGAGCTGGGTTCAGCATGTCTCTGTCCTTCCTTTCCATTTCATGTTGTGCTATTTGCTCTGTGCTCTCTGGCTCCTACGTGTGGCTCTCTTTCTGTTCTGTGTCTATAGTGCATCTCCCTGGCTCCTTCTCCCAATCTCATCTCTCAGCCTGAATGTCACCTCCTCATAAACTAGGCCTGCTCTGACCATGCACTGTATAGGATACTAGTTATTCTTGTAATTTTCTTTGTTTAGGTGTGTAGTGCCCATCTGTCTCATCTATAAGATTGTGAACTCTCTGAGCACATAAAAATCATATCCCCAATGACTAATTGGTGCTAAACTTGTAATAGAGACTCAAAATACATCTATTTCATCAGTAAGGCAGTTCGGGGTATAGCTCAGTGGTAGAGCATTTATCTAGTATGCTTAATGCCCTGGATTCAATCCCCAGAACCTCAAAAAATCATGCTGGGCACCATTGGCTCACTCCTGTAACCCTAGCTACTCAGGCAGCAGAAATCAAGAGGACTGCAGTTTGAAGCCAGCCTGGGCAAATAGTTCGCAAGATCCTATTTCAAAAAAACCCACCACAAAAATGGGCTGGTGCAGTGGCTCAACGTGTAGGCCCTGAGTTCAAACCCCAGTACCAGGGGAAAAAAAAGTCAGTAAAGAAAGACTGACATGGTCCCTGTCCTAGGCAAGCTACAGGCTAGTGGAGTCAGTCAGAGGCTACAGCCTGAGTAGATGGGAAGAGAGAGCCTTTTCTTAGTGAATTTCCCTTTTCTTAGTGAAATTCACTAAGAATGGGAGGTGCTCCAGGATAAGGCAAGGTATTGAGCACACAGCAATGATCAACCAATTTCCTGCCCTTGAGGAATACCATAGTAGTTGGGGAGAAGGATAATAACTGGCCAGTGGCCCAAAGGAAATGATAGAGTATCTGGGGTTGAAGGTCAGGTGAAGAGATAACTAACTTCCCCTAGAGCTGAAGTGTGACAAGAAGTCACCCATGTGGAGATGTGGGAATGCCTTCCTGGTATACAGCAGTCGTAGAGCTCCTGAGGTAGGTGGGGACATATTGAGGGTGTCCAAAGAGCAGATGGATGAAGGCCAGTGTAAGAAGGATGGGCAAAGGTGTAGCTGCATGATAGGAGTGAGAGAGGTAGGCAGATACCAGCCATCACTGCTGGCATAAGGGATTGGGTCTTACTCCCAGTGTGATGGGAGGAGACTGACAGACTGTAAGTTTCAGAAAAGCATGATCCATGGCAGACAGTGGCAGGAGGGAAGAGTGGCTTGGCCCAATCAGGATAGGAGCCATGCTTGAGCAACCATGTTAGGAAACTTGTGGGTGAGTGTCTGCCAACAGCTACCCTCTAAGCACCAGTGCTTTTGGCCTGCAGGTGCTGGGCAGGAGGGTGCCATGTTCGTCCATGCCCGTTCCTATGAAGACCTGACTGAGTCAGAGGATGGGGCAGCTTCTGGGGACAGCCCTAAGGAGGGTTCTGGGGGTCCCCCACCACTGCCTACAGATATGCGCCAGATCAGCCAGGACTTTAGCGAGTTAAGCACGCAGCTGACAGGTGTGGCCCGTGACCTGCAGGAGGAAATGCTGCCAGGAAGTTCTGAAGACTGGCTGGAACCCCCAGGGACAGCTGGGCGACCAGCCACAGAGCCCTCCAGAGAGGGTTCCACTGAAGGGGATGAGGAGGATGCTATTGAGGCATGGCGCCTCCACCAAAAGCATGTCTTTGTGCTGAGTGAGGCAGGGAAGCCTGTGTACTCCCGCTACGGGTCTGAGGAGGCACTTTCCAGCACTATGGGTGTCATGGTGGCCCTGGTGTCCTTCCTGGAAGCAGACAAGAATGCCATCCGCTCCATCCATGCAGGTGAGCCACCTGAAGAGGGTGATGGGGAAGACTCCACTGGTCAGGGTTACTTCATAGTAGGTTGGACCCTCACAGACAATAGGGCTGGGATGTGCTGTGTGACTGAGGTTAAGTCCCTCCACCTGTCTATGTTCAGCTCCTCACCTGAACATAGAATAACATTGCAGGTCTCCTGAGTCCATGGGTCTTTGAGGCTGTGGTGAGGGCTAAAGGTGACTCTGACGGGAGTTTTGCCATGGAAAAGGGTGAAATCAGCTGAGGAAGAAGGAAGGGAAGGGGAGGGGAAGGGAGCGGAGGGGAGGGAAGAAGGGAGGGAGGAAGGAAGAAAAGGAAGGAAGGAAGAAATGAAAAATTCCAGGTCCTTAGCCTCAACCAGTTCTTGCTAGTTGAGTTAGCACTTACAAGAATGTATTTTTCTGAAGAGCTTCTTGTTTTTTATTAGGAAGTCAGTCTGTGAAGCAAGTGGCAGGGAAGGGAGCAGTGGGCTGCAGATTTTACTCTCAAAGCCCCTACTGAGTGCAGAGCTTTGAGCCAGGAAAGGCTACAGAAAGTGAAGAGATGTGCTGAGCTGGGAAAAGCCGATCTGGGAGGGTTTCTGGGACAGGAACTGAGGCTGACCCCCTCCCCCACCCTCAGATGGCTACAAGGTAGTGTTCGTGCGCCGGAGCCCACTGGTGCTGGTGGCGGTGGCACGCACCCGGCAGTCTGCACAGGAGCTGGCACAGGAGCTGCTCTACATCTACTACCAGATCCTGAGCCTTCTTACGGGTGCTCAGCTGAGCCACATCTTCCAGCAGAAGCAGAACTACGACCTGCGGCGCTTGCTCTCTGGCTCCGAGCGCATCACAGACAACCTGCTGCATCTTATGGCTCGAGACCCCAGTTTCCTGATGGGGGCTGCACGTTGTCTGCCACTGGCTGCGGCTGTGCGGGACACAGTGAGTGCCAGTCTGCAGCAGGCGCGTGCGCGCAGCCTGGTCTTCTCCATCTTGCTGGCCCGCAACCAGCTCGTGGCGCTGGTGCGTCGCAAGGACCAATTCCTTCATCCCATCGACCTGCACCTGCTCTTCAACCTCATTAGTTCCTCCTCGTCTTTCCGCGAGGGCGAGGCCTGGACGCCAGTGTGCCTGCCCAAATTCAATGCTGCTGGCTTCTTCCACGTACATATCTCTTATCTGGAGCCTGACACTGACCTCTGTCTGCTGCTCGTCTCCACTGACCGGGAGGACTTCTTTGCAGTCTCTGACTGCCGCCGTCGCTTCCAGGAGCGCCTTCGGAAGAGAGGAGCTCACCTGGCACTTCGGGAGGCACTGCGCACACCCTTCTACAGTGTTGCTCAAGTGGGCATCCCTGACCTGCGCCACTTCCTCTATAAGTCAAAGAGCTCAGGACTCTTCACCAGGTGAGGGAGGGCAACTGCTTCAGGGAGATGAGGATGTGGGGAGTGGGGAAGCTGTTTGGTCCTGAGCCCTGGAACGCAACCCTGAAGCTGACTGCCCCCTGGGAGTGGACCAGCATGCTAGGGCTGTTTTACTCTGGCCCCAAAGACCCAGACTTCGCCTCTCTACTTCATTACCCTTAAGGCATAGAAATGACAAATATATCTGGGGAAATAAGCTGGAAGAGAGATCCCCTAGATCCCTTCCCTGGAGCAACTCTGACTTCAGGGTTATTTTGGTCTAGCCCAGTTTGTAGAGTCCTCTCACATTCACTTCCCCAATGAAGGACCTGTGCAGATATGGCAGCTTCTGTTCTCCCTTGACTTCTTTTTGGCATAGTGAGTTTCCCAGTTCACCTTTCCTCTACTTCAGATTTGTCACTTTGTTTTGGACACCTGTACTCAGATTGGCCCCATCATGAACTCGAGCAGTGGGAGGGAACAGGGTTTCAATCTGTCCTGGGAAGTCTCCTGTGGCAAGGAGACAATGTCCATTCCTAGGGCAGTAGCTGGAGAGTGGGACATGTGGCAGAGTCTGCCTGGCTAGGAATAGGTTTCTAGGTCTCCAGAGATAGCAATGGAAGTCATTCCTTTACAAACCCACTCCCCTATCTGCAGTCCAGAGATTGAGGCTCCATATACCAGTGAAGAGGAGCAGGAGCGGCTACTGGGCCTCTACCAGTATCTGCACAGCCGTGCCCACAATGCCTCCCGCCCACTCAAGACCATCTACTACACAGGCCCCAACGAGAACCTCCTAGCCTGGGTAAGGTGGCTTTGGATGGGACTGGACTTCATAGAGGTCCCAGGTAAGGGTCACAAGAGCATCTATCCTAGATGACCACCCTCTGCCCCCTCCTCCAGGTGACAGGTGCCTTTGAGCTCTACATCTGCTACAGCCCCCTGGGGACCAAGGCATCAGCTGTCAATGCCATCCATAAGCTGATGCGCTGGATCCGTAAAGAGGAAGATCGTCTCTTCATCCTCACACCCCTTACCTATTGATGGGAGTGTGTGTGGACTCAGCCCTCCCAGGCCCACTGGGTATGGGAAGCCATGGGAGCCTCCAGGTGAGGCTGAATTCTCCTGTCCAGCCAACAGTCAGGGACTGTGGGTTGGTGCGTGCATTAAAGTGCTTTGGTAAGACAATTGTTACACCCTGTCACTGATTCTTTCACCCACCACTCTCACATAGAAATACCAGATCTTCCTCCTAAGCCCTGCACATATTTCCTCATATACAGGAGCACATGAACATTTGAGCCCCTCTCCTCCCACCTTTGCACCAGCATCAGGCCACATACATTCAGAATTGGACCCTGGGCTTTTATGGTTCAGCTGAAGCCCTGCAATATGTAAAGAGTTCTCAGGCACTCTTCTGTTCTACCCTTGCTCTCCCAACCCTATTCTCAACCTACCCCAGTGCCTGCTTCCCCTGCTACTCCTAGGTGGAGCTTCTAGGTACATACCCCAAAAGACCACCCAAACACCAGAGCTCTGGCTGTTGTTCTGTTTAATGAACTGCTGTGGTTCAGCACATGTCAAGATGAGTAAGATAAGGATGGTGAAAGTGGTAGTCTGAGCTGTAGTATGGGTGGGAACCCTTGGCAAGGCAGCCCAATGTTTAGCACAGATGAATTCAGAGTTCAGTTTCCCTGTAGCCGTAGGTATCTGAGGATACTTTCCCTGTTCAGGCCTTTCCATGAAGGATGGTCTGCCTCAATTCCTCCAGCTCTGCCAGCACATTCATCAGAGTGGCCCCCAAGAATGAACTAGCGGATCTGAGTGGAGGCCCACAGGGCCAATTGGAGTGAATCTGCCTTAGTAGGAACCCAGCCACGGGTGTACTGGGCTCTCCTCAGTCACCCTGGCCTTGATGTACCTGCCAGGCACCATAGATATCCCAGGAGGCTCAGAAATAAAAGCCCAGCACTACTCACTCTACAATGAGACTTTTGGTCAGAGTCCAGGGCACAGTGCAGAAGGCTTCTACCTTGCTGCTAGGAGCTGTCCTGTCCTGCTACAATTTAACATTCTCATTGGCTAGGGGAACAAAAAGCCTAGGGAGAAAATTGTCCACAAAATGTGGCCTTCAGAGGGTTAGAATCACTCTCACATGCAGCTTCTGAGAGCTGGGCCACAATTTTCTATTAATAAAACCAACATTGTGTCTGTGTGGGCCAAGGATGCATTAGGACAGTTGAACTTACTGTCCCAGTTTTTGGGACAGGAAGTTATTAAACACCCTCTATCACTGGTAACAGCCTGCCTACATCACATTGGAATTAGCATGGCAGCAGGCTACCTGCCTAGATTCCAAAGCCCCTAGGACCAGTCACTGGCTTGGTGAATACTGCTCACCCTTCATACATGCTCTAGGGCCCTTCTGCCTATTTGGGGATCCTGTTCCTCCCCTTGCTCCTGGTCAGGACACCAAACCACTGCCTCAGGGACCAGGTTGATGCTAAGCCAACTGTCCCTGACAATTACAGGTGTTCTGATCAACAGGCAGCCCTGCTGGGTACAGTGGCTCAAGCCTGTTGAGAGGTAGAGATCAGAGAATTGCAGTTCAAGGCCAGCCTGGGGGAAAGGGAAGGAGGAGGGAGTGGAGTTCACAAGACCCTATCAAACAATGGCTGGGCTCAATGGGTCTGTCATCCCAGTCAGGGGGAAATGCAAAATAAGAGGATCTTTGTCCAGGCTGGCCTGGTCAACAAGAGAGACCCTATCTCAAAAATAATCAAAGCAGCTGGGCACTGTAACTCACATCTGTAATTCTAGCTGCTCAGGAAGCAGAGATGAGAAGGATTGTGGTTCGAAGCCGAAGGTGTAGGCCCTTCTGGAGCAGTGTTCAGAGGGGTCTGAAAGTCCAAGGAGGGCAAAGTGACTAGCATTTCTTCATGGTGAAAAGATGCCTGGCCAGGTGTGGGCCAGTCCTGGAAGTGCATGTACATTGCAGGACCCCATTAGCTGACCTCCCCCACATACTTAGCCCCTCCTGCAGAGGCCATTAATCAAGGGACAAAGAAGCAGCCACCATGATGGTCACATGGTGGCAGCAGAGAACCAACTGATGACTGTTGCACTACTAGCTCCAAATCTGGTGGGTGAGGTCATCTAGAAGGGTTTGTGAAATTTCCTCCCAAACTCCAGAAATGTCTCCAAACATCTGGAGCCAGGAAGGGGTTCATGAGAACCCCTGTCTGGACTCCAAGTGGAGTGTTTCATTTCAGTTTTGACCTGTGTGACTATCTTAAGTGTGTTAATCACGAGACACTGGACCTGTGCCATGGTTTTCTCTGGGTGTTTCTTCATTTCCGGGCCAATTCTAGTTAGGGGAGGGAGCACCTTTTATGTTTCCTTAAGCACAGTATCTTCTAGTCTATGGGTGTGGCTTTCCCATATTCTGTTTCCTCTTGGTCACTAGGTGCCCAGGGAGCTTGAGCCTGGAAGGAAGGGAAATCCTGCCCCTGGTAATTGTGTTGGGATGGGTATAGCCCAGCGTTTGTGGGGCCCAGGAGGGACCTGGCAGTACCAGAGTTTGAACTCAGGGCCTCATGCTTGTTAAGCAGGGGCTCTACTACTTGAGCCACTCCACCAACCCTTTCTCTGTTGGGTATCTTTGAGATAGGGTCTTGCTTTTATTGCCCGGGCTGGCTTTGAACTGCCATCCTCCTGGTCTCTGCCTCCTGAGTAGCTAGGATTATAGGCATGAACAACTTGTGCCCAGCTGGCACCATCTTAAAGGCCTCCTAGGATAAATGCCATCACACCTGTGAGCAGAGGAAGGGGAAATGGTGTTCCTTGAAGGAGGAACAGCATTTGTGAGGGTTTGGTTAGGAAGGGGATCTAGGCAGTGAGATGTATACTGGGTAAGGGATGGAAAAGGTAGAGCTTCCCAGGCTGGTCTGAATTCTATTGGGCTCCTTCTCCAGTCCTACTGACTGCAGCCCTAGGACCTACTGATGACAGCCCAGGGTCACTCTGTGAAACTTCTCCTCCTTCTAGAGCCCAGGCCCCACTGGGCTGAGGGGACTGTCAGACTAAGGATCCCCTCCTGTTGATGGAGACCACTTGCCAAGGGACAGCTGCTAAAGTCCAGATGAGGAGGATGGCAAAGCAAAACTAGGCACCACTACCTACCCATTCTGGAGAGAGAAACTCTGAGTAACTAACTAACAAACCATAACTACATTCTCATTCCAGAAACTGAGAAACTAAAACCCATACTTCCCCTATTGAGGGTGGAGGTGGGGGCAGAGGTCGTTAGGAAGAAGTCCCTTCCTAAGGCTAGTTTTGTGGGTTGCACCGCCTCTCATCCCCTCATCCTACAGTTTCCACATACTGAGGCTGCAGTGGAGGGTCCAGAGCTAGGGCTAGACCTGCACATAAATTGCCTCTGACTCTGTTTTCCAGTCAGCAGAGCCAGGCCCTATACTTTAACCATTATGACCCTCCCGAGAGCAAGCACATGGAATGATGGCCCCTGCCCAGAGAAGGTGGTACCCCACACAATCCCTTGCTCCCATATCTCTCCTCCACCTTCCACCCATTCCTGGTCCCTGTTCCCCATATGGTAGAACCTCCCAAACCAGGTCTGTGAACCAGTGTTTGAGGGTATTGCTGTAAATTAGCTCCAAGGGAAGAGAAGGTTGCCTTGTACTCTTCTCACCTCAACCAGGTGGGGGAATAGAATGGGATGGCCCAGGCCTGCTCACTTCCCTTGAGGCCATTCCATGCACACACCTGCACTGAGACCACTGAGAAATAGACTTCCAAGAGAAGGTGTAGGACCCAGGATTCCCAGGATAGGGAAGAATCAGGCTGAAAAGTTGGGTCTTTAACACCACGGCTCCGCCCATAGCCCCGCCCTGGGCCTGGCCGCGCCTTCTGGGCCCCAAGGCCTTGGATGGGCTTTGCTCAAAGCGGCAGCTCCTAGAGGCTCCAGATGAGGTAGCTCTTCATTTCCTGCCTGTGTCCGCCGGCATCAGGTGCTGAAACCCAAGGGCAGGGGAACGGGTTGGACTTTTCAGGAACCCGGGTAGAGGATCGGTTCCAGGGAGGGTTTCAGGGCCTCTGCTTAACGCTGTTCCCAGACTAGACCTGAGACCGCAAGGCTCCCCCAAGGGGCCCCAGCTCAGCCTCGATGGGGCTGCTCTGGCAGCTGTTACAGTACTGTATGCTGCTGCTGCCGCCGCCGCCGCAGCCGCCGCTGCTGCTCCTGCTGTTGCGGCTACCAGGTATGTCCACCGCGGGCTTAGACTGGCAATGCCCGCGCACGCCCTACGCCTCCTCCTGCGACTTTGACCTGAAGTACACGGTTCCCAGCTTCTCTGTGGGCGGACCGGTACAGGCCATTGCGACCTATGAGAACAGTATGGTTGGGAGTGCTGTGTTTGTGGCCACACGCAATCGCCTGCACGTGCTTGGACCTGACCTGCAATCTATCGAAAGTCTGGCCACCGGCCCCGTGGGGGACCCTGACTGCCAGACGTGTGCGGCCTGTGGCCCAGGCCCCCACGGTCCACCAAACGACACAGACACAATGGTGCTGGTGTTGGACCCTGGCTTGCCTGCGCTGATCAGCTGTGGGTCGAGCCTTCAAGGCCGCTGCTTCCTGCATGAACTGGAGCCCCGGGGAACAGCCCTGCACCTGGCAGCACCCGCCTGCCTCTTCTCAGCCTACCGAAACAGACCTGAGGACTGCCCAGACTGTGTGGCTAGCCCACTGGGCACGCGTGTGGTGGTGGTTGAGCAGGGCCGTGCTGCCTACCTCTATGTGGCATCCTCACTAGACGAAGCAGTGGCTGCCAGCTTCAGTCCACGTTCAGTGTCCATCCGACGGCTTAAAGCTGATGCCTCAGGATTCCAACCAGGCTTTCAGTCACTGTCAGTGCTGCCCAAGTACTTGGCTTCCTACCCAATTGAATACGTGCACAGCTTCCATGTGGGAGATTTTGTTTACTTTCTGACCGTGCAACCTACCAGCGTGACAAGCCCTGCTGGTAACCTGCAAACGCGTGTGGCGCGACTCAATGCTGTGGAGCCGGAGTTGGGTGAATACCGGGAACTGATCCTCGACTGCCATTTTGCACCTAAACGTCGCCGCAGGGCCCTGGAGGGCACACATCCCTATCGGATCACAAAGCCCTACTCGGTGCTAAAGGCTGCCCACACTGCTCCTGTGGGCGCCCAACTTGCTCTTGAGCTGAATGTCCCAGAGGGTCATGAAGTCCTATTTGGAGTCTTTGTGGCTGACAGGGATGATTACCCTGGCATGGGCCCCAAATCTGTGGTCTGTGCCTTTGCTATTTACCTGATAGACACCCTGATCAATAAGGGTGTGGAGCACTGTTGTGAGTCCTCTATCAAGGGTTACCCTCATCTCCAGCGAGGCCTGGACTTCTTCCAGTCACCTACTTTTTGCCCCAATCCGGTGAGCAGAAAGAAGGGGCCCTCACCTGTGAGCAGTCTGTGGGTGTCTGAACAAAGACTGCTTCCCTTTCCCTCACTGAGAGGGTCTAGGAGGGGGAAGGCAGGCAGAAAGCAGCATTCTATTCTATGCAATTCCTAAGTGCTGGGGGTGGAGTGAGAAATCAACTAAACAGAAGCTACACTGGAGACTCATCTTCCAGCCAGGCTGGTCCCTATTGTTACCTCATTTTGCTCTTTCACACTGTCGGTTATCATGGCTTCTGATTTTTTTTTATATTTTTTTATTTTTTAGTACTGGTGTTTGAACTCAGAGCTGGTCCACCAGCCCTTTTATGTGATTTCTTTTTTTTTTTTTTTTTTTTTGAGATAGGGTCTCATAAACTATTTGCCTGGGCTGGTTTCAAACTGTGATCCTCCTGATCTCTACCTCCTAAGTATCTAGGATTACAGGCATGAGCCACCCACACCTGGCATAGCTTCTGATTTTTTAAGGTGTTTTCCCTTGGTTATGTGAGGGTGGGATTGTATCATAATTGTCTCTTTGCCAGCACAGTACCCAAAGTTCTGGGTTGAATGATGGGCATTCCCTCCAATCTGTCTACCATCTGTACCTTCAGGGATACACACAGAAATACAAATACACAGGCAGATACTTATAGTCACACAAACTCATAGCTGCGTGTCAAAATAGTTTCACTTTCCTTATGGGAGCAATTGTTTTGCTCTGCTTTCCAAAGGGAAAGGGGCAGGAGCTATCAAAGAACCCCAACCCCAACCCCACTAGGTTCCAGGGAATTTTCTGGACTTTGGAAGTCTGGCAGCTTTTTGGGCAGCCTGAATAATTTGTGCTTTACTAACCCATTTTCCATGGGTTGATTGGAGGCGGACTCTGGTTATGTGGGAAGGCAGCTTGGTTCTAAAAGTTTCTGGGAGCCTCACCCCAGGCTTGTGCAAGCAGCTATAAACTTCTAGGAATGACAGTAAAGACTTAGGACAGGCTACTTGGAATTGACCCACCCAAGACTTTCTACTGCTATAGCTAAGACCCCATATCAGACCCTACCTAGGTTCTCTCCCTATGTCAGGGAGGGAGAATAGAATCAAACAGCATTCCTTAAAATGCCGTCCTAAGGAGCTGGGGTTGGAACTCAGTGGTAGAATATGTGCAAGGCCTAAGGGAGGAAAACATGCTAATCTGAGGACAAAACAAAACTGATTCTTTAAAGCCATTGCAATAGTCACATCACAGATTATAAAAGATTAGGTCAAGGAAATGGGTTGAGTGGCTTTTCATCTAGCTGACTCATAACTACTGCTCTGAGTCTCTCTGGCCACCTGGTGCCCCTAACCCTGCTCCTTTCCAGCTCCAATCAATGCCCCAGAGGTAAAGAACTTACACCCAGTGCTGCCAGGGAAGAATCTTCAGCCTTCCTCCTTAAACTGAGACATCTGGGTTGAAAGACCTTAGAGGAGGGAAATTTTGACTGGGCCTAGACAAGCCCTGCCTGGCTCTACCTTCTTCCCTCTGGGGAGTCAGAACCTCTCCTAACCTGGATAGTGGTCAGTGGGTTAGAAGATAACCAGTACAGCTGGGCAGTGCCATGCACCAGGAGGACTAATCTTGGGCCTTGCCCACAGGCCAGCCTGGCCCCCGGAAGAGGTGTAAACCAGTGTTTATTTAATGACTCAAGGCATGTGACTGATGGGGCAGTACAGCGCTGTGTGGTTCGCCGCAGGGCTGGTGGGTTCATGGAGGGTATGGGTCCTCCATTGGGGGCATTGTACACTTAAGGCCAATATTTTCAGGAGCTTAGGGCCTCTAGTCAAGCCTAGGACCCAGAGCTAAGGCTCTGGGGCCTAGAAGCAGGAAAACAGAGTGTGGGCCTGGCTAGGTTAGCACTTCTTTTCAGCTCCAGAGCCCCACCTGTCCCTGAGTCATGATGAAAACACCTGGCACACTTCTGGCTAGGGCCAGGCCCTTTTCCTTATCAAGTGAAGACAAAGTCCCAGTTGCCACCCACTCAGGCTACAGCCCAGGGTGTGTGGGGTTTCTAGACTCAGCTCTATACTTGCTCTTTTCTCCTTACCCTAGGACCTGCTCAGCACTTAGGTGCAGAAATGGGTTAATTCCACATGGTCTGATGGAGGCTTTGAGGTTTCTGCCTTAAGGAATGCCTGGCCAGGAGACTCCTAAGCATATATGGCTGGTTGAGCCTTTCCTGCCCCTCCAACCCAGTCCCAATATCTTAAATTCATACCCTGGCTTCCTACTTTCCCAGGAGCTTCCACAGCCCTACCCTGGAAGTGCAGCCCCAAAGACCCCCTTGCTAGGTGCATGGGAGAAGTGTCTTCCTAACCTCTGAGGCTTAGCCCAGCATTCCAGGCTATAGATTTGGTTTACCCCTTTTGTACAAGTGGTACAAAAAGGTAGCAGGAGCAGCTGGATGTTCAGGAGGACCTTTGGATTCTTGGGGAGAAGGACTGTGTTACTAAGTTGTGCTGGCAAGAGTTCAACCCTTTACAAAAGTAGAGAAACAGAAAGAAGCCCAAAAAACCAGTTTGCTGAAGTGCAGATGCAGGGCTGGGGCAGAGCCGGCAGGGGGCAGGAGAGAACTCTCATTAAGAGCACAGACTTCCCCTTCCTCTCTGAAATGGTTGTGAAGCCTTGGACAAGTGTAACTAAATCTCTGAGACTGTTTTCACTTTACAGGGTGGTTGTGGGCTAAATTGTGTCTCAAGTGGTAGAGTGCCTGCTGGCAAATACAGGGTGGTTGTGAGAATGGAATGGGGCTAGGTCTGTAATTAGAGAGACCCTGTCTCAAAAAAAAAAAAAAGTCAGGTGCTAGTGGCTCACTCCTATAATCCTAGCTAATTTGAGAGACTGAGATTGGGAGGTTAGAGATTCAAGGCCAGCCCAGGCAAATGTTCATGAGACTCCCCCCCCCCATCTCCAAAATAACAAGAGCAAAATGGACTGGAGGTATGGCTCATACAGTAGAGTGCCTGCTACGTAAGCATGAAGCCCTGAGTTCAAACACCAGTCTCACCAAAAAAAAAAAAAAAAAAAAAAAGACTCAGTAATTCTACCAAAATGGGCATGACAGTGTAGGGTAGAGAGTAGGGAAGCTGGCCTTCTGGCCTAGGCCTCTTTTCTTCCCTGCCCTTGCTATCTCTAAGAGTCATAGTTGGGTAGGATGGGCAGGTAATAGGCAGACCCAGAGCCTTCTCTAGTCAGGCCAGGTAAGGGGTGGGATTTTGTTATCACTGACAAAGGCCCCAAAGGGTCAGTGTACTGAGCTGAATCCTGACTCTCTTTCTTCCCTGACCCTTCCCAGCCTGTCCCAGAGGCCCCCAACCCCAGCATCAGCTGCTATCACTTCCCTCTGTTGGTCAGCGACAGCTTCACACGTGTAGACCTATTCAATGGGCTGTTAGGACCAGTGCAGGTTACTGCACTGCATGTGACACGCTTTGGCAACAGCACAGTGGCCCACATGGGCACGATGGATGGGCGTATCCTGCAGGTAGGTACCTCACCCCACAACCCTCTGGCCCCATGTTCCTGTCCCTATCCCTGTTTTGCTCACAGCTGATATATCCCAGGTGGAGATATTCAGGTCACTCAGCTACTTGGTATATGTGTCCAACTTCTCACTGAGCAGTAGTGGACAGCCCATTCAACGGGATGTCAGTCGCCTCGGGGACCACCTACTCTTCACATCTGGGGACCAGGTGAGGTGGGCAGGGTCACAGCCTGAGCCTGAGTTGTAGGACCACAGCCTCTCTGTCCAATTCAGGGAGGCATTGACACACAGGTCTTACTCCCTAGTCTACAATGAGACCAGGAGGGTCTATGGGGTCCACTTCCTTCCTCCAGCCATCCTGAGCCACCTATTTGTCACCTAAAGGTCTACAAGGTACCTATCCAGGGCCCTGGCTGCCACCACTTTCTTACCTGCTGGCGTTGCCTATGGGCACAGCGTTTCATGGGCTGTGGCTGGTGTGGGAACATGTGTGGACGGCAGAAGGATTGTCCTGGCTCCTGGCAACAGGACCATTGTCCACCTGTGTTTACTGAGGTACAGCTTCCTTGGCAGGGAACGGATAAGGATGGTGCAAGCAGAGCCTGGAGTGTGTGTGTGTGGGGGGGTACTCAATAAGTGTTGACCATGGTTTTCCTCAGGTCTGGAATGCTCTTGGCATTTATAAGGAGGGCCTTCTTGGCAGAGGAGATGGCACTTGCAAAGATTGGGAGGCAGGAAGATGCTTGAATGTAGAATAGCAAGTGACTGAAAATGGCTGGAGTGTGTGGCAGGGGACTCTGAGGGAAGCTGACAGAGACCAACTCACACAAGAACTCAAGTTATTTGTTTGCTCCACTTTAGTTCCATCCCCACAGTGGACCCCTAAGAGGCAGCACAAGGCTGACCTTGTGTGGCTCCTATTTCCACATGCAACCTGCTGGTCTGGTACCTGAGGGAACCCACCAGGTTACTGTGGGCCAAAGTCCCTGCTGGCTGCTGCCTAAGGACACCTCAGATCTCAGGTACAAACTGGTTCCTGCTCTTGCTATCTATCACTGCTGGGTGTAACCAAGCATCCTCTTTCCTGTCCTCTGTTTATTGGGGGAAAGGAGATTTGGTGCAAGCTGCAATTGCTCTGGCTTTTTTTTTGTGCCTGGGGAGATATCTCTGTCCTTGATGAGGCTGCATGTGAACTACCTGTCCCTTTAGTCATGGATTGGGCAAGGTAAGGCCCTGCCCCACTTGATCCTGCCTTCCTTGGAGGAAGGCCTGACATGGAGGAGATGCTATCCTCAAGCTCAGAAGATGCTTGTGACTTGTGGTGAGCATGAAGCTAGGCCTAGTGTGTGATTCCCTGGCTTCGTGGGTTCCCCTGATGCCCCAGGTCAGTGAACGACAAAGAATTTGAAGAGGAGCTCGAATGTGAGCTGGAGCCCTTGGGCACCCAAACAGCAGGGATTACCAACGTCAGCTTCACCGTGACCAACATGCCACCAGGCAGGCACTTCCGGGTAGATGGCACCACTGTGCTAGGAGGCTTCTCTTTCATGGTGAGGTGACCTTACCCTATCTGTGCTCTTGCCTAGTGGGCAGTACAAGAAGGGAAGGGCTTGGAGTGGAGGACTTGTTCAGCTAATCTACCTCTCTGCCCTCTTAGGAACCAGTGCTGACAGCAGTATATCCCCTCTTTGGCCCACGGGCAGGGGGCACCTATCTCACCCTTGAAGGTCAGAGCCTATCTGTAGGCACTAGCTGGGCTGTGCTGGTCAATGGAACTCAGTGCCAGCTGGAACAGTAAGTGTCAACAGGAAAGGGAATAGGATATCACAGGTCTCCACTGCTGTGGCTCCAACTTCTACCTGTACTCTGCTGGTCTGGTATTTAAGGGGACCTGTCAGGTCACTGTGGGCCAAAGCCCCTACCTACTGCTGCCTAGGGGCACTTCAAATCTTAGGTATTAAAAAAAAAAAAAAAAGAAAAGAAAAGAAAAAAAATCTTAGGTATAATCTGGTTCCTGCCCTCCCTATCCCTGTGGCAAGCATCTCCTCCCTGTGACATCCTGTCCTCTATTCCCACCCAGGAAGCCTCAGCAGGTGGGGACCTAGATCCTGTTAGGGTGGACAGAACAGGGCTCAGTCATATGGTCAGTATGAGGAGGAGTTCCAGAAGAAGAATCTGCTGCCCCTTCTGGCTGGAGGCAAGAAAACTCATCAGAGTCCACTGGCTCCACCCAAGGCTGTGGAGAACCTGTTGCTTCCCTGCCCTCTTAGCACCCTAACTTTAGACATATTTATGGGTGTGGATGAGTGGGAGACAACCAACAGAGGAAGTACACAGTATTAGTAGGCTCCTGGAGGAAGTAAACCTGGCCATGATAAGGGGGGTGCCCCTGAGCCAATCCATCATTCCTGCAGGGTCAGCGAGTGGCAGATTTTATGTGCCACACCTCCTGGGGCTGTCACAGCCAGTGTTCCCCTTCGCCTGCAGATAGGAGGTGCTGAGGTGCCTGGTAACTGGACCTTCCACTACCAGGAAGACCCTATCGTGCTGGGCATCAGTCCCAATTGTGGCTACACGTAAGTGCCACCTCCCTATCCATACTGTCCTCTGAGGAATAAGGGAGCCAGCCTCAGAGAGCACCCAAAACATACCATCTTGCTGTCTTCTACAGTGGCTCCCATGTCACCATCCACGGCCAGCATCTGACTTCAGCATGGCACCTAGTGCTATCATTCCAAGACGGGCAAAGGACAGTGGAGAACAGGGTTAACAGATATTGGCCAGGAGGGAGGAAGGCTGGGCCAATCCCCTGAGCTCCATTCCCACCCTATACTGGGCTGAGACTGGGGTACCCAGTTAGACATTTGCCTAACTACTCTCATTTGTGTTCCAGCAGTGTACAGGGAGGCTTCCAGATCAGCATCACTGCCACCTACCTGAATATGTAGTCCAAAGCCCCCAAGGGTGGGCAGCAGGGAATCTGAGTGTCCGGGCTGATGGAGCTGCTGGCTTCACACTGCCTGGCTTTCGCTTCCATCCTCCACCCCGTCCACCCAGTACTGATATAGCACCACTGAAGTCTGAGGAATATGCCATTAAGTTCGAGGTAGGTGTGGGGTATGGGGTAGGCATGGTGAGGGATTAAAAGATGAGGGCCTGGACACTAGCTGATCCTCATTACTGTCTCTGCAGTATATCGGGCTGGGTGCTGTGGTAGACTGCGTGAGTGTGAATGTGACTGTTGGTGGTGAGACCTGCCAGCATGAGCTCCGGGGGGATGTGGTGGTCTGCCCTCTGACATCCTCCCTGCATCTTGACAAGGATGGCGCCCCATTGCAGGTAGGCAGCCCAGTTGGCCCTCCATGGGAAATAGGGTTCTAAGGGCCTTACAGGCTGGGCCTGAGCTGCCATCTGCTCCCAGGTCTGTGTGGATGGTGAATGTCACAAACTGGGCAGAGTAGTGCGATCAGGCCCAGAGGGGGTCCCACAGAGCGCACTCCTTATTGTCCTGCTCGTCATGGTCCTGCTCATGGCTACAATGGCCATAGCACTGATCTTCAGCTGCTGGTGGCGGAGGAATCAGCTAGGTGAGCTTCCTTCTCCCACCCTGATTTAGCTTCTACCTCCCAAACAGTGGCATCTCCAAGTCCCCTCACGCTCTCTCCACCAAGAACTTGATGGTATCCCTGGGTGGTACCCCTGTGGAGGTCAGTCCCCAAGAGTCTGGAGATGCTAATCACCAGGGATTATCTTTTCACAGTCCTTTCTCCCAACCTGGATGACTTGGCATCCTTGGACCAGACAGTTGGAGCCATGCCCTTGCCTACGATTCACCCAGGCTCTGACTACAGAAATGGCCTTGGTAAGATGTGTTAGAGGTGTTAGAAGTTAAGTCCATACCCTCCCCACAAGCCTCTCACTCTCTCCCTTACAGAACTCTCTGCCATTAATGATGTGGATTCCAGCACTTGGGTCCACACAGAATTCTCAGACAGCAAGGATGAATCCTGTGTCCCACTGCTGAGAACAGAGTCCATCCGGCTCAAGGACCTGGACACTGCACTCCTAGCAGAGGTCAAGGATGTACTGATTCCCCATGAGCGGGTAGTCACCCACAGTGACCAAGTCATTGGCAAAGGTATGGAGGCCAGGTTGGGAGGAGGGGCTGGGGTAGAGATGAAGTCCCAAGATGACATCAACTCAAAGAACAATTGAGCCAGACTCTGCTCTGGCCTTTTCACCAATCTGTGTGACTTCTCTGAGCCTCCATTTGCTCATCTGTGAAATGGGGATTAGGAGAATTCTGTCTTCAGTGGGTTCTGACATAAATTAAGTTGGCATAGGAGGGCTGCAAAAGGCTCTGCCATTGTGTGGCTGCTGCGTGGTTGCTTTTTCTTTTTTCTTTCTCTCCCTCCTTTCTCTCCTTCCTTCCTTCTTTCTTTCTTTTTTCATACTACACCATTTTATTTTATTTATTTTTTGGCAACACTGAGTTTTGAACTCAGAGCATCATGCTTGCTAGGCAGGCGCTCTCTCTTTTCTTTCTTTTTTGGGACAGGATCTTACTATGTAACTCAGGCTGGCCTTAAACTTTCTTTTTTTTTTTTTTATTGTTCATATGTGCATACAATGCTTGGGTCATTTCTCCCCCCTGCCCCCACCCCCTCCCTTACCACCCACTCTGCCCCCTCCCTCTCCCCCCTACCCCCTCAATACCCAGCAGAAACTATTTTACCCTTATTTCTAATTTTGTTGTAGAGAGAGTATAAGCCATAATAGGAAGGAACAAGGGTTTTTGCTGGTTGAAATAAGGATAGCTATACAGAGAGTTGACTCACATTAATTTCCTGTGCGTGTGTGTTACCTTCTAGGTTAATTCTTTTTGATCTAACCTTTTCTCTAGTTCCTGGTCCCCTTTTCCTATTGGCCTCAGTTGCTTTTAAGGTATCTGCTTTAGTTTCTCTGAGTTAAGGGCAACAAATGCTAGCTAGTTTTTTAGGTGTCTTACCTATCCTCACCCCTCCCTTGTGTGCTCTCACTTTATCATGTGCTCAAAGTCCAATCCCATTGTTGTGTTTGCCCTTGATCTAATGTCCACATATGAGGGAGAACATACGATTTTGGGTCTTTTGGGCCAGGCTAACCTCACTCAGAATGATGTTCTCCAATTCCATCCATTTACCAGCGAATGATAACATTTCGTTCTTCTTCATGGCTGCATAAAATTCCATTGTGTATAGATACCACATTTTCTTAATCCATTCGTCGGTGGTGGGGCATCTTGGCTGTTTCCATCACTCGGCTATTGTGAATAGTGCCACAATAAACATGGGTGTGCAGGTGCCTCTGGAGTAACCTGTGTCACAGTCTTTTGGGTATATCCCCAAGAGTGGTATTGCTGGATCAAATGGTAGATCAATGTCTAGCTTTTTAAGTAGCCTCCAAATTTTTTTCCAGAGTGGTTGTACTAGTTTACATTCCCACCAACAGTGTAAGAGGGTTCCTTTTTCCCTGCATCCTCACCAACACCTGTTGGTGGTGGTGTTGCTAATGATGGCTGTTCTAACAGGGGTGAGGTGGAATCTTAGTGTGGTTTTAATTTGCATTTCCTTTATTGCTAGAGATGGTGAGCATTTTTTCATGTGTTTTTTGGCCATTTGAATTTCTTCTTTTGAGAAAGTTCTGTTTAGTTCACTTGCCCATTTCTTTATTGGTTCATTAGTTTTGGGAGAATTTAGTTTTTTAAGTTCCCTATATATTCTGGTTATCAGTCCTTTGTCTGATGTATAGTTGGCAAATATTTTCTCCCACTCTGTGGGTGTTCTCTTCAGTTTAGAGACCATTTCTTTTGATGAACAGAAGCTTTTTAGCTTTATGAGGTCCCATTTATCTATGCTATCTCTTAGTTGCTGTGCTGCTGGGGTTCCATTGAGAAAGTTCTTACCTATACCTACTAACTCCAGAGTATTTCCTACTCTTTCCTGTATCAACTTTAGAGTTTGGGGTCTGATATTAAGATCCTTGATCCATTTTGAGTTAATATTGGTATAGGGTGATATACATGGATCTAGTTTCAGTTTTTTGCAGACTGCTAACCAGTTTTCCCAGCAGTTTTTGTTGAAGAGGCTGCTATTTCTCCATCGTATATTTTTAGCTCCTTTGTCAAAGACAAGTTGGTTATAGTTGTGTGGCTTCATATCTGGGTCCTCTATTCTGTTCCACTGGTCTTCATGTCTGTTTTTGTGCCAGTACCATGCTGTTTTTATTGTTATTGCTTTGTAATATAGTTTGGAGTCAGGTATTTGGCTTTAAACTTTCTATATAGCTCAAGTTGTATCAAACTCATGATCTTCCTGTGTCTATCTCCTGAGTGCTGGGATTACAGGTGTGTATCAACATACCTACCTGCTGTTTATTTGTAAAACCAGATTGGCCTGTTCGGTGCCCTGAGGTCCATTTTCCAAGGGGGTGCTGTGATCCTGGAGATTGGGTCCCCTCTCACAATCTTCCTTTCATCAGGCCACTTTGGAGTTGTCTACCATGGAGAATATACAGATGAGGCCCAGAATCAAATCCACTGTGCCATCAAGTCACTAAGTCGTAAGTGGAGTCAGAGGCTGGGAGGGTCATTGTTCCTCCTATATCACCACTTTACTGAGTGGCCCTGAGCAAAAGCCCTCCCCCATTTCCCCATCTGACCCTTATAAAGGACCTAACCTAAGCTACCCCACAGGTATCACAGAGGTACAGGAGGTGGAGGCCTTCCTGCGAGAGGGGTTGCTTATGCGTGGTCTGTGCCACCCAAATGTTCTGGCTCTCATTGGCATCATGCTGCCACCTGAGGGGCTGCCCCGTGTAGTGCTACCCTACATGCGCCATGGAGACCTGCTCCGGTTCATCCGATCACCTCAGCGGGTCAGTACTCAGCTGGCCCTGGGTGGGGGCGGTGAGGGGGTCAGCCTGCAGCTGTTCTTCCCTTGCTCATCAGTTCCACCTGTGCTCCCAGAACCCCACTGTGAAGGACCTCATCAGCTTTGGCCTGCAGGTAGCCCGTGGCATGGAGTACCTGGCTGAGCAGAAGTTTGTGCACAGGGACCTGGCTGCTCGGAACTGCATGTGAGTAGCTGGATGGAGTAGCTAAGGATGAAGCAAAGAGGCAGGTTATGAGGGTATGCAGCTGCCCTAAGCCACCTCAGAGAGGATAGGGCCCACTCTAGACTTTGCTATGCAGCCCTGGGCATATCCTCCTGTCTCTGGGTCTGTTTTTCTGTCTGCTCAGTGTAGGCTTGAGTGGTACACTGTGGTTCTGAAATTCTGTAAGAGCCTGCAACAGATGAGTTTAGGATCTTGTGGGGAATCAGTTCTAAGTGTGACTCCTTCCTCAGGCTAGATGAGTCGTTCACAGTCAAGGTGGCTGACTTTGGTCTAGCCCGTGATATTCTGGACAAGGAGTATTATAGTGTTCGACAACAACGCCATGCTCGCTTACCTGTCAAGTGGATGGCACTGGAGAGCCTTCAGACATACAGATTCACCACCAAATCTGATGTGGTAAGGCCTCACCTGCCTTAGGTCTATCTGGCCTACATGTCCTAGAACACTTGGCCTCACCTCTGCATGGTCTGAGTCCAGGGAATCCCCAGGTTAGGCAACCCCAACAGCTCATTTGTCCACCTTTTGGCAGATGTGAGATGGAATCTTGTGAGTGCAAGAGAGACTGTGAACTCCTTGGCTTCTCACAGACAACTCTGGGCAGCCAGCCCCAACTCTGGGCAGGCTGAGGTAGTGAGAGACAGAGAGGGAAGCACTTGCATGGTATTGGGAATGAGCTCTGAGTGGAGGTGGGCTCCTGAAATTCCAGCTGAAGGACTCTGGGAGGTAGAGGACTTGGAGCCTACCTGCCCTCAATTTTGAGTGATAGTTGAAGTCACCTCACCTCTCTCCTCCCACAGTGGTCATTTGGTGTGCTGTTGTGGGAACTGCTGACAAGGGGCGCCCCACCATATCCTCATATTGACCCTTTTGACCTCACCCAGTTCCTAGCCCGGGGTCGTCGTCTGCCCCAGCCTGAATATTGTCCCAATTCTCTGTGAGTATGTGGAGGTGGCAATGAGGAGGGAGTTGGGCCCCAGAGACAAGTAGGGGGCAGGAGACAGAGCAACCTGCCTTGCTTTCCCCGGCCCCCCCTACCCGCCACATACTGTGGTTTGAACTCAGGGCCTACACCTTGAGCCACTCTACCAGCCCATTTTTGTGAAGGGTTTTTTCGAGATAGGGTCTCTCAAACTATTTTCCTGGGCTGACTTCGAACCACAATCCTGATCTCTGCCTCCTGAGTAGCTAGGATTACAGGTGTGAGCCATGAGGACCCAGCCTGCCTTGCATTTGACTGACCCCCTGGTTGACCAAGAAAGGTATCCTCCCTGGGCCTCAGTTTCCTCATCTGTGCACTGACCTCACCCCCAAGCAGGGAAGGACACTGAGAGGACCTCTCAGTTGTCATAGTAACAGCATGCCAGTGGCTTGGTTTCCCAGCTTTCTTCTCCCTCCTCCTGCAACTCCAGCAAAGGGGGGCTATTTTCCATCTTTTCCACTCACATAACCTCAAACAAAGGTTCTATAGCTCCCACACCAGCTCCTCTGCAACTCAAGATCAGGGTTTTTTCACTGGCTGTAGCTTCAGATTCCTCATTCCTGAGGGATGGCAGCAACTATGTTGTCATCAGTGCCTATGGGGATGGCTTCTTAAACAGCAGCATGCCTCAGCTGTGTGGTTAGAACAGGAAAAACCAGGTCATAGGTAAAAGCCATTGATGGATGACTCCTGCTCCAAGTTGTGCTCCAGAATGGGTATGAGTAGTCCTTTCTTAAGGCTCTACTTGCCTTGGACTTGACCCTTATTGCCCTCTTCACTAATGCATATATGGTTTGAAGTAAGGGAAATTAACTTCCCTGCCTACCTGCATCCAGTGTAGGCTCCATGAACAAATGCAGGTGGAGATTTCTGTGTGGAGCTTCATTGGTAGGTTGGGGGAAAAGGAAGCAAACTGGGCAGAAGGACAGGGTGACTGTGATACAGACATGAGAGAGGATGTAGCCTATCCCACAGGACTCCTTGATCTGGGCTGGCCCTTCAAAGTTTTCTGCAATTGAGACCAAGGGGCTGGGTCTTTGTATCAGGCATTAGTCAGTCACTGGTCACAGGCTGTTCCCTGGTGAGGGGTGTGATAGGGGAAGGCAGTTCTCTTCTGCCTAGAGAGGGTTTGAGAGCCATTAACAGCCAACACTCCTAGCCACTGGGAAAATGAATCTGGGTGGCACAGCACAGTTTCCACTATACCAGGGCAAGTTCCTTTTCTTTGCTGGGCTTCAGTTTGCTCATCTGTAAAGTGGGGATGATAATAGTTTTGTCCTCAGAATGTCTTAGATGTATGTGATATACTGTTTGTAGAATACTAAGACTATCATTTAAAGGATGACATTCCCAAGATAATGGGACATACTCTATGAAAACCCAGAGAGCCTCTGCTTCAGATCCATGGTGCCCCTGGTGCTGCCCAAATGCACTCTCTCTTTTTTTTTTTTCTTGGTGGCACTGGAGTTTGAACTTAGGGCTAGGCAGATGCTCTTACCCCTTGAGCCACTCCACCAGCCATTTTTTGTGATGAGGCTTTTTTTTTTTTTTTTTTTTTTTTTGCAGTACTGGGGCTTGAACTCGGGGCCTTCACTTTGAGCCATTCCACCAGCCCTATTTTTTTGTGAAGGGTTTTTTGAGATAGGGTCTCCAGCCAGGATCTTCCTGATCTCTGCCTCCTGAGTAGCTAGGATTATAGACATGAGCCACCAGCACCCAGCAGATGAGTTTTTTCAAGATAAGGTCTCACAAAACTATTTTCCTGGGGCTAGCTTCGAACCTTGATCCTCCTGATCTCTGCCTCCTGAGTAGCTAGGATTACAGGCATGAGCCACTGGTACCCAACCAAATGCTCTTCTTTCAGGACTTAAATCCCCATTTTATTTCCTTCTTGGAAGAGGAGGTATGATGGTAATCATGTTAGTGTGTGAGCTGGACCCTCTGATAAGTGCTTCACAGGTGACTTCTCACCTTGTACCCCTACTGTTCTATGATCAGAAGAGGACTTGGAGGCACAGAAAGGTTAAGAAACTTGACCAAGATCACATAACCTAGGCCCCAGGTCACAAAAGCTAAAGCTCTTAACCTCTGAGGTACTTGGACCACTGGCAGGGTGAGGAGGCAGAACTGCAATGGAAATTATAGTGAAAAGACCTTCCCCTGATTGGGCAATGCTAGTACTGTCTTAATTGGGCACTGGGCCCTGTCAAGTGTTGTCAGCCCTGTTTGGCCCCAAAGGGGTTTAACAGAATCCCTGGATAGGGGTGTGCCCTAGCCCTGATTACCATCTCCTTCTTCTTTCCTTTTTGGCAGTACTAAGGTTTGAACTCAAGGTCTCACACTTGCCAGGCAGGTGGTCTACCACTTGAGTCATGTCTCCAGCCTGACACCCCCTTCTCTTATAGGTACCAACTGATGCAGCAATGCTGGGAGGCAGACCCGGCAGTGCGACCCACCTTCAGAGCACTAGTGGTGGAAATGGAACAGGTAGTAGCCTCACTGCTTGGGGACCACTATGTAAAGCTTTCTGCAGCCTACGTGAACTTCAACCCCGGCGCCTTGGTTGAAGAGAATGTGCTCCCAGAACAGCCACAGTCTTCACCTATGCTCAGCAGCACATCCAGGCCCCGGCCCCGGCCCCTCTCAGAGCCACTGCTGTTCTCTTGACCTAAGCCCTACACAGGCCCATAGATGCTAGACCCATTTAGCAGCTTTGAGCTAAACCCAAGCTGCCTCTGGGCCATTTCAGGGTAGAGGGCATTGAACCCCCCATCTTGTCCCTATATTTTAACCTTCAGAGGCCATAGGATATGAGCAGAGCACATTTGGTCCCAAACTCCACAGAATGAGTCCTGAAGGTGATTCTTCTAGAGTACATATTTATGGAATGCCTGCTGGGTACCCTGCCTGCTGGACACTGGGGACTCAGCAGTGACCACAGAGATACTACCCTTTGAACCAGTAAAAAAAAAAAAGAATATTCAAGTGCAGATTGTGGCAAATGCTGTGGGAGATAGGAGGCTGCCTTACAGGAATGGAGAACTTTAGTTAGAGAGGCACCTATGGGGTGAGGGAAGTCTCCTAGAAGGTGACATTTTGACTGTGGCCCTATCTGGTGGGGAAAATCTGCCAGAAGCAGACTTGAGGGAAAAGAGTTTTGGGCTGAGTGTGTAGGATATACAAAAAGGCCCTGCAGCTGGAAAGGGACTGGGTTAGCCAGAAGACTTCAGAGCAAAGGGAGGGTCAGCAAGGCCTAGATCAAATTATAGGGCTCTGGGGGACTGTTGGCTGGACTAGAGGCTGGGTTGAATACCCAAGCATGCAGCAGCCAAGATGGTTTCTTCCATGGCTCAGGCTGCCTGCCTCACTTCCCTGCCCTAGCACTTCTCCAGAGTCCTCTTCTCCATCTGCAGCACACCCCACTTTATACATGCACACACACACACAGACTTGGAGACTGGCTCACCTCCCAACCCTGCCAGCATCATACTTGCAACCTTGAGAGCGAAGAGCCAGAAGAGAGACCACAGCTCCACAGTTTCAAGGAGCCAATTTCAAAGTGCCAGCTGCCCAAGCTATTTATATGCATTAAGACCACTGCACATCAGCAGCTGAAGGGGCATGTTCCACTGGAGAACAGGCTCTGCCCACCTGCCTTTCCCCCATGCCCTGACTGCTGAAGGGGCAGTTGGGTCCTGCTGGTACTGGGAGCTGAAGTGCCTGGGTCCAGAATATGGTGTTAACTCTCCCTTGCTCAGGACCCCCTGGCCTCCCTCCCTCCATGTGGAAGATTCCCCGTTCATTCAAAGTGGGGGCAGGGTCCCTTTTCTATGAGTACCCAGATCGTACATTGAACCCTAAACTTGGAGCAAGAGCTCCCTACTAAGCACAATGGGAATCTCTTTGGGATCAGAGCTTGCCCACTTTAGGCCAAAGAGACACTCAGTTCTAAGAACCCAAAAGACCCCAAGGATAGCTGAGTAAGTCATAAAAGGGGACCTCTTCTGCAGGAGTGCAGGGGTCCAAAGATGAAGGGTCTGTGAGCAGAAGGCAGCAAAGACAGCTTCTGCCTATTTATGGCCCCGTCTCTGGTTCCTTTCAACATAGGCACAGAGGAGGTTGTGGTTTTGTACATCTCGCCACTGACCCCGTGTGTGTGTGTGTGTGTGTGTGTGTGTGTGTGTGTGTGTGTAAAGAGAGAGAGAGAGAGAGAGAGAGAGAGAGAGAGAGAGAGAGAGAGAGAGAGTTATATGTTAACTCCCAAGACTGGGAGAAAGAAAGGTAATGGAGTTTCCTCAAGCACACCCACAGCTGTGGTCTTTGTACCAATTAGGAAGGATGTCTTCATCCTGTCAACTTGCAGGCCTTACTCCTTAACTCCATTGGAAAGGGCTCCCCAAAGCTCTAAGCCCTGGGTAGGAGTAATGAGAAGGCACAGGGAGCCTTCCCCACTGGCTTACCTGCTCAGAAGAGAAGGGCTCAGAGCCAGCTGCAGTGGTTCTTCCCTGTAATTCCATCTTCTCTGGAGGCAGAGATTAGGAGGATCAAATTTCAAGGCCAGCCCAGACAAAAAATTAGAGACCCCATCTCTATAAACTGGGAGTGGTAGTACACACCTATGATCCCAGCTAATGGGAGGCAGTAGGTAAGAGAATCCTGGTTTGAGGCTGGCCCCTGCCAAAAAAAATGTGAGACTGTACCTGAAAAATAACTGAATCAAAAAAGGGCTGGGGATGTGGCTCAAGCTGTAGAGTGCCTGCCTAACAAGTGTGAGGCCCTGAGTTCAAATCCCAGTACCACACACACACACACACACACACGTGCACATGAATAAATAAATAAATAAGTAAATAAAATAATAAAGAAGGAACTAAGGAAGGAAGGAAGGAAGAAAGGAAGGGGGTCTCTGGACAGGAGGGGAGCTTAGCATGAAAAGGGGTCCCAGGGAAGGGAGGAGAGAGCGCTCAGGGGGTTTCAGTTTTCTTTTGTGCCCTGAATATGTTATTTTGTGCCTGCTCTGGGCCATTTCTGTGTCTGTTTGGGGGGGAGGTCCCTGGGTTCCACTCAGTGACAGCTTCACCAAGCATCAGAGAGCCCCCTTTTCAAAGGGGAAAATAAATACTGGGGATTGAACCCAGGGCCTTGCACATGCAATGCAAGGGCTTTACCACTGAACTACACTCCTAGCCCCCTCTTTTCTCTTATTGGGAGGGGATGTGATAGTGGTACTGGGATTCGAACTCAGGGCCTCATACTTGCTAGGCAGGCACTCTATCTCTTGAGCCACACTTCCAGCTTTGGGCAGCTCATCACTCTGCCAATGTAAGGTTTCTGGACAAGCTTCCCAGGGCCAGTATTCTCCAGGGAGGAGCTCCAATTAGGTGCCTGAGGGCCTCGATTGTGGCCCCTATCCCAACTTCCACATCCCCCAATCTCCGAGGCACCTGTTCAGAAGCACCTGACAGTCCCAAGTCCATTTGGAGTATCAGGAACTAGAACTGTTTTAGGATTTCAAATTGGTGACTTATCTACCAGAGCTAATAGGTAGAGAGGGTCAGTTCTAGGCCTTCAAATGGGTTGAGGGAACTAGGAAGCTTCTGAGTACCCTTTGTGGTTGGAGAAGGCTGGAGCACCTCCCTCTTGGTGGGGAGAGCTGAGTAGTTGCTTGGGTATGGTGGGTGGACAGTACAAGGGGAAGGTTGCTAATGGGTCTGCTAGGGCTAGGCTTGCCACCAGGTTAGGATAGGGAAAGAAGTTTCTCCAGGGCTTTGGGAGTCCAATCTTCCCACCAAGAGCTGTAGCCAGCACACACCAACCCCTCTGCCTTGTCTCCCTCTATCTCAACCTAGTGGGGCTTGGGGCAAGCAATTGCCAGTAAAGACTGGAGGAAGCCAGGGTGGGAGCTGGGGCTGAGGAAGCAGATGACTCATAGCCTCCTGACTGCCCACTGGTGTCACTGTCGTCTGGCACCTGGAGGGCTAGAACCCTGTTCTAGCCTGACCTGCTTTGATGGGGAACCATGAGTTTGGCCTGAGATTCCCATTATACCTAGCCCCAACCTTTCAGGGAACTTTTCTAGGGAACCAAAGTTTCTCTGGGGGGTCAAACCTGAGGGTTCCAGATATAGCCCCATTCCAAACCCAGTCTCTCAGTTGCTCGTGGGAGCTCAGAGAACAGACCCATGGTAATTCCTATTTTGAGCTCAGTTGGTAAGAGCTGATGGAAGTTGCTGACTCCTTAGAGGGCCTCAGCATGGGCAGAGGCAGACCAGTGAGCACCAGAGCTCCCAGTGCCTGGCACCCTCACCTCTCTTCTCTTGCTTCTTTTGTAGGTTTAGCCACCTGTACATTTTTATGGCCAGTTGTGAACTGGGCATTTAGGAAAATCAGGAAAGGTGGGGGCTTGAAGCAGCTAGTGGCCAATAATCACAGGATTCAACCAGCTTTGAAACCAGTGTACCCCTCATGCCATGAATTCCTCCTCGGAGGTTGCACCCAGACCACAGAAATGAGGGGCCCCAGGAGGCATGGCTCAAGCAGTAGAGTGACTGCTTTGAAAGTGCAAAGCCCTGAGTTCAAACCCCAGTCTCACAAAAAAGAAAAAAAATTAGAGGCCCCAAAGGAGTTGGCTTCGCCCTTGGGCTTCTTTGCTTGTTGATGTGTCCTGCCAAGCCAGGGAGCCCTTTCTTCAAAGGGGAGCAACTCCAGTCGTCCTGCCAACATGGATGAGTGCTGTGATTTTTTTTTGGTACAGTCACCATCTAGTCTTTTCTTAAGCTACTCCCACCTTCCTTAGGGCCTGGGTCCTGTAGGGACCCTGAAGGAGGGTGACTCTTCTATGCAGATATGGCTAAAGGTTTCTTCCCAACAGTCCTGAAACCATGTGTGCTTCTGGCAGAACTTCTTCACCCCTCCCCACCACCCCATTTATGTTGGATCCTGGATGGGGGGCCGCTCCTAGTGGGGATGAGGAGCTCAGCCAGCCCCTAAGCCAGCTGTGAGGAGCAGTCAGGGTGGCTGTGCCACTGCCCTCCCCTCTGGCTGGTGCGGCTGGCCATCTTTTACGCAGAGTTACGTAAACTTGAGTCAACTGGGGCTCAGAGCAGTTCATTGTGGGCTATTTTTAAGCTGCAACACATCACAGCAGAGGGGTCACTGCACTGCCAGCTTGCAGAGAAGGTTGTTTAAACATCTGTTATTTAAATTTCCCTGTGCCTTAGAGCTCAGAAGCCGTATCCTTTTGGTGCTAGTGGTTTCTGCCTTCCACATTCCAGATTAGGAATGGATTATTTCTTCTCACTCTGCCATAGATTTCCCTAGGACTGGAGATCTTGGTGCCTGCCTGTCTTCCCCTGGGGCCAGACATGGAGGCAGGCAGTAGGAGGTACCAGTTCCTTTACAACATGGTCCTGCCTCTATGGAGTATATCCTGGCCAGGAAAAACTTGAGGGAAGCAGGTCTAGGTCCCTTGGGTAGCCTGAGAGAGGAGAGTCAGGAGAGGAAGGCACACACTACTGGCATAGAACTAGGAGACTGGGAATGCGTTCTTTCCTCCCTGGGGCCTCAGTTTCCTATTAGCACTGACAGAGGGCTGGATTAGAAGATCTTTTTGGTCTTTTCAGAATCCTGCCTTTGTCTGGGCTCTGCTCTCAGCTGGAATGTCTTCTCTTCACAGATCCAGTGCTACCCATCTTCAGCCTTTGGGGCACAAGGGCTGGTATATGAACTCCTAGACAATGGTCAGGAATGAACCTCTGGGGAAACAGGCCTCACTAATCCATTGTCAAGTGGATGGCTGCACTGGGAGGCCTTGAAGGCTCCCTCTGATCCTAGGTATTTGAAGACATTAAGAGCTTTCCCAGGGCACAGAGAATGGAAGGAAGGTGAACTGAAACAGTAAAGAACCAGAAACTTGACAGAGCTATCTACCTCCTAAGAACACAAGGGAGCCCCAAATGGTCTGTGTTGGACAAGCAGCCTAGCAGATCTGGTGGGCAACAGAGCTCTGGTAGAGTGTAACCATCTATGTCTCTCTGCTTGATGTCCTTCCTGCCACCTCTCCACCATCCCCAAGGCCTCCTAGGTGACAGAGTTTCAATCCTGATCTACAGGGAAGAAGCATTTTCTAGAGTGACATGACCCTGTCCCCAGGGGTTGGGGCCTTTCCCCATGCCTATCTAGAGGGTAAGGTGAAGTGTGAGGGGAAAGGCAATGGCAGGGCTTGCCCTCTCATGTGAGACTCCTTCTTGCCCCCCCACCAACTAAGCTCCAGCTCTTTCTGCCACCCTCTTCCACTCCATACCCCTCAGCCTGGGGAATGGGCTCAGCCTTGGGGAGGGGCTTTCTAGGTTGCTATGGCAGCACATTGGCCCTCCTCACTTTCCAGAATCAGAAATAGAATTGGATACCCTTCTTCCTGGTGAGATACTATTTAAAAACAAGTGGGGGGAGGGCACAGGGGCACGATATGTGGGGACTGGACAGAAGGGGCCCAGACTGGGAGCCTATCTACCTGCCTTGCTGCCCTCCCCTCAACTAGATGAGATGGGAATGGGCTTTGGCCACCAAGAATTCTGAATACAAAGGATTCAGCCTGGCCCCACAGGGTGTGCAGCTGGCTCTCATTCAGCACTACCAGGTTCCTGGAAGGGCAGTGGATTAATGTCCCTAACAGGGAAAACACTCCTTCCTAGGTCTGAGCTACCTTAGTTATCCAGAAGGGGAACAGGTCCACAGAAGACACAGCCTGGGTGTGAGGCTTCAGCTACAGCACCCAGAAGGCATGTTGGCTCCCTTCCAGCAAGACCCATGCCTTGGCATAGCACCTGATGGTTGTACCACATGCTCCTGCAGTATGGGTTCAGAGCCTGGTAGTCTGGTAGTCTAGCTTCAGATTCTGACTTTAGTAGACACACTTTCTGCACCTTGATTTTCTCATCTATAATACAGGTCTGAAGGCTTGAGGTGTGGCTCAAGTGGTAGCCCACCTGCCTAGCAAACTTGAAGCTCTGAGTTCAAACCCAGGTACCACCAAAGGGGGAAGAAAGTACAATAATGCCCAGCTCATTAAATTGCTGTCAGGCTGAGTTCCATGTATTTCATGCTGCACCAGCAAAGTGGAAGAACCTGATCAATATCAGTCATTGTTATTATTGCTATGAGGTGTGTTTGCTTCCCAGCTAAAGAGAAGGCCTTCTCTCTCCTGTTTCTTTTGGCTTTCGTTCTTAGAGTAGACCTTTAGCTAGTTTTGCTCTCTCCTCCCAGGAAACCTTAGGTTGGTTGCTCACAAAGGACCTCAACCCTGGAAAGGAGCCTCATTTCTGCAGGAAGTAGAAGAAGGCTCAGTAGTCAGACAGGTGTGGGGCTCTCAGGGCATTCCTCCATGTTCCCCTAGCCTTCCCATGTTCTACCTAGCTCATATGCTGCACAGGCATTAGAAGCTGTTACTAGCATCTCTGTCATGAGAAAAAAAAAAAAAAGCTAGCTTACTCGGCCTATAGAGTAATGAAGTTAACAGTGTTCCACAAGTATGTGTGCACAGCCTCCTGCAGACCCTTGAGCTCTGCCACTTTTCTGGGCCATAACACAAGGGCTTATAAGCAGCTTGGTTTTTCACTGTCTAAGTTGTTTGTCCCCTTTCTTAAGTGAAAGCTGCATCTGGGGGCCCAGGGGGCTTGAGATGTGGCTGAGTCACGCTTTGCTCAGTGCCCAATCAAAAAGGTGTGGATGCAGCATAGTGCTAGCCTTTGTCACTGGTCACAGAGCCTCACACACACCACGGCCAACTCTAAACACTATTTTTAACCTCTGTGAAAAATATGCTGATTTGGAAGACAAGCTTATAGCTGCAGTCTCCACACACCTGTTTCCTGGGTAGAAAGACTGAGATCTGAAGGGAGAGAGCTCTGGAGGACAGGGTGAGGAGGCTCAGAGCTCAGAGCTGGGGGGAGGGAAGAGGGTCTTACTCTGCCTTAGGCAGAATCTCCAGACCCGATTCTGGCTATGAGTGGCTCTCCAAATTGCTGCTTAGGCTTAGCCTTTGGGCTGCCAGGAAGGTCTGGGCAGGTTCTGTTGCTCCCTATCCCTCTGCTTCCCCATCTAAAAATTGAGGGTGGAATTACCCACTTGGTCTATGTCCAGGTCTTTGTCTAACTTGTCTTTACTGTATAAACAGCTCTGTGCCCACTGTGTGCTCCATCTTGCATGTGACATGTCCCTATTGTGTCCATACCATTTTTTGTCTTGTATTTGTTACTTGGCTGGTCCTATGGACACCGTGCCCTAGCCCTGTGCCTAGTGCTATGCCCCCATTATGACCAAGGTGAAGCTGACATAAGTGACAAGAGCTAGAACATTCTGACTTAATGATTCTGAGCAGAGGCCCCACCCCCATCTCTGCCACCCCCATCCCCACCCTTGTGGGAGACTGGTCCTAGGCTTTAGGGACATGTGGCTCTGGGGAGGGGGCTCTATGAGGCACAGGCAGAGGAGAACCATCTGGAGCAGCAGAAGCTGCCAAGGAGTGGCTGTCCCTGGAGCGGGAGCTGGGGAACATAGGCAAGGGGAGCTTGGACCCGAGCCTGTGCCCCTCACCCTCTTCTGTCTCCTAGGATTAAGTGGTGAAGAGGCTTTGACAGTCCTTCTTTGGGCCCAGTGCCAGGGAATTCCTCTGCCTATCTTTCTCTTTTGACCTCACCTTGGCCCTCTCTGGGGCATAGCCATTCTGTGGCTGACCTGGGCACAGTGGTTACTGACTGAGTATAGGGAGAGGAGGCTGCCCAATAGTGGCCAACTTTACTGGGACCTTTGGGTTTCTCTGCTTCCCAAGGTCCCTAGGCAGCCTCCCCACCCCATTCCTCAAGGGGTGGGGCCTCTAGTTTCCCACACTCTGTCACCTTCCAGGTCACTGGGGGCTGTGATGTGTGGGGTTGCCATGGCAATGAAGTGGGGGCAGGGCACCTAGGGCATGGAGCAGGACTATGGCAGCCACCAAGAAGGTGGGGGGCCCTGATCCATCGGGCCCCCAGGGCCACCCCTCACCCAGCAGCCAGCAACAAGGGGGTGGCCTCGAAGGGTTCCAGGAACAATGTGTAAGTTCAGGACTCCTATACTCCAAGCAGGGGTTGTCAGCATCCACCAAACTCACCACTGATGGGGTCTGTGGCCCAGCCTCCCAGGCCCATGTCCCTGAGCCCATTCACCAACAACTCCAGGACTCTACTCAGGTTAGCTCCCAGAGTAGCCACGGGCAGGCCTCCCAGAGTGCCCCGAGACTCTTCTCTACTAACCGGTTTCCAAGCCCCATCGTGGGAGCCCAGCAACATCTCATCATGGATGATGGGACTCTGAACCTACCAGTGTGCATATGCAACAACACCACCAGTGACACAGCCCAGTATGGACCAAGCCTTTCCCGGCTTCAGGTGCAGATTGGGAGGGAAGGCAAGGCTGCAGCTAAAGTCCTTGTAGGTTGGGGCAAAGGTCCCTGCAACACTGACCAGAGGGCACCCGTGGGCCCCAGGAAGAGTCGGTGGCTACCTTACTTCCTCTCAGGAAAGAATGTTGCAGCTGAAGGCCAAGATTCTCTTCTGGCTCCAGCTCAGGCTCCTGCCCAAGATCAGAGTCAGGGCAAGGGCCCGTGTCCATCTCAGGATCCTGCCTTAACTACAACTTCTACACTGTTGCTGGATCCTCCAACTCCAGCCCAAGCTACTATTCAAGCTCTCAATGTGACCTCAATACCTGCTACAGTTGAACCTTATACCTGTACCCTTAACCACCTGACTGACGATACTGCAGTCACCAAAGGCCTGTCTCAAGACCTCCTCAGGAGGTGTGGCGATCAGTGGTGCCCCCCTGTGGAGCCTTCTAAAATGATCATATCTCACCAGGACAAAGTGAATTTCCACCCTAATGAGGAGCCTCCTACTCCAGCACCTACTCCAGAAATACTCCCTGAGCATGCCCAAGAGCACGAGGTTTCCAAAAAGCAGGTGCCATCCAAGCAACCTGAGGACACAGCGGAGAAGCCCCTGGTATATACCTCTAGGCCTGGTACCTCAACACCAGTACCAGAGCCGCCAGGTACCCCCAAGACCCAGAGGAATAACCAGGAGATTGGCAGCTCTCAGCCAGATAAGCAGCCTCCCAATGTCTGTAACAACTGCTCCAATGTACCACTCTCTGCTTATCTCAAAACCTGCCAAAAGCAGTTCCCAGCCCAGTCTCCCAGGGAAGCCATGCAGATCCCCCTTTCCAGTGCCCCGACATGCCAGCTCCAGGATGCTGTGGAAGACCGTGTCCTGGTATTTGATATGGCTACAGGCAACACCAGGATAGGACTAATGTGCCATGACCCTATGGGCTCACGGGCAGTGCTGGTGGGCCTCATGCCCAGCCCCACATCTGTCTATGTCCCTGAAAATATGTTGTCTACCCTGCCATTGGCCAGTCCAATCATGTCTCCTGACAGCAATAATTCCAACTTCTGGTCCACCACAGCCATGGTGTCCAGCCCTGTGCCCTCCAGTCTCTCATCTGGCAGCTACCGAGAGGTGGCCTTAGTTCCCAAGGAAGCCAAGCACAACCTGGAATCACCAAACACTATGGCTACTGGGACACCTATCAGGGTTGGGATGCTCACTAGGCCTGTTTCACTAGGGACACCCTTTCAATTTGGTGAAAGGATACTGGCCCATGTTCCTGATCCCAGCTGGTCCAAACCTGATGCTGAAAATAATGAACCTAGTCACACCATCTGGATGCTGGAATCCTCCAAGATGCCGGATGCCTCCACGGTCCAGACCAAGAAACTTCAGTGGATGAAATCAGACCATGCTTTACCAGCTGATACCCAGGCAGTGTCCAAATCTCTGCTCCAGGAAGATGTAGGCAGCCACAATCAGAAAGAAGCTATTATTGTTCACTCTGATAACCCTCAGGCTGAGGATGCTCGACAGGTCCCCCTCACTAGTCAGACCTTCATCAATGGACAGAACCTCTTTGCTAGACAGCTACCTGTAGCTGAGCAGGGCTGTTTAACTGGCCAGCGTTCCTCTGCCAAGCAAAACTCCCTTACTTGTCTACCTTCTCTCACTGGGAAAACCCATCTTGCCAGAAAGCTTTCCCTCAGTGAGCAGGCACCACTCACCGGGAAGCCCGCAATCATCAAAGATCCCACCCTCTCAAGAGGGTTCCTCATCTCTGAAGAGCCCTGTCAGGCCTCCACACAGGAAGGTGTGCCCGTGACCCTGCCTACCCATGTAGGGGTACTTCAAGTGCCTCTGGTCCCTGAGGAGGCCTGTATTTATGTGAATAGAGACAAAGTCAACATTAATAATGGTCAAAACTCCAGCATGCATCAGCTCTCATCCTGGCAATCTGGAAGCTCTCCCAGGGCACAGGAGGAACAGCTTTCTCTGATCACATTTTCCACACCTGGCACTGGCTGCAAGGTCTTGCCCATGGCTACAGTGGGCACTGAGTCCCAGATTGGGAATCGGTTCAAGCTGACAGCTGAGGACATTACACACTCATCAGTGGTTGCACACCTTGGCCTTCTCCGTGGGGCTTGCTATGAGCTGGTGTCCACCATGGATACTCTACCAGTGCGGTCACCAGTGCTCTGTCGCCACTCATCAGGCCCCTACAAGGACATGGCAGCCATAGTGATTGATACAGGCACAGGATTCACCAAATGTGGACTGGCTGGAGAGAACCATGTCCTCAGTGTGGTACCCTCACAAGTCCAGATGCTGCAGCATCCAGCTCAGGGCCAGCCCCGGTACGTAGTACCTGAAAACCAAGAGGGCTCCTACCCGGTACTGAACCGAGGTGTGGTCTCTGACTGGGATGCACTAGAGGTGCTGTGGCAGCACCTGTTCTACTGCAGGCTGGGGGTGCAGCCTGAAGAGCTGGCTGTGCTTGTGGCTGACTCCCCCATTTCACCACGTACCAACCGAGAAAAGGTGGCTGAAATACTCTTTGAGCATTTCCACGTGCCAGCCATGCAGACAGTCCATCAGGCTCTGCTGACACTCTATGCTTATGGGCGTACCACTGGGCTGGTGCTGGGCAGTGGCCATGGCACCTCTTATGTGGCACCTATCCTCACTGGGGACCTGGCCCCACTTGATACCTACCGGTTGGATGTGGCTGGTGCTGACCTCACTGATTACTTGGCTCAGTTGCTACTGGCAAGTGGCCACTCACCACCCAAGACAGGGCTGGTCAACCAGATTAAAGAGGCCTGCTGCCACGTGGCCATGAACATGGCAACTGAGATGGCTCGCAGTCAGTCCCAGGCCCGGGTGGACTTTGTGCTCCCAGATAAACAGGTTATCACATTAGGCTCTGAGCGCTTCTGCTGCCCTGAGGCTCTCTTCCAGCCCAGTTTGCTAGGCCTCAACCAGCCAGGCCTCCCACAGCTGGCTCTGCTTAGCATTAGCCGGCTAGAGGCCAAGCAGCAGGAGCAGCTGCTGGCCAATGTGGTACTAGAAGGTGGCAGCACCCTGCTGAGTGGCTTCCCTGAGCGCCTGAGACAGGAACTGGGTCCTGGGGCCACTGTCCTGGGCTCTCCCCACCGTGCAGTTGCTGCTTGGCTTGGGGGCTCTATCATGGCATGCCGGAACTCCTTCCAGAGCCTGTGGCTCAGCCGCCGGGAGTATGAGGAGGAGGGCCCGTGGGCTATCTACAAGTACCAGCTATGAGCACATAAAGTTCTGGTTCTGCTTGCTTTAAGCACTGTTGCATGTTTCAGGCAGAGGGTGGTGTGGGGGAAATCAGGAGTCCAGGCATGGGGTTGCGGGGGGGAGGCCCTAGTTCTCCCAAATGTATCCTACCTCTGCACTCTGGAACCCCATGGGCCCTGAGGCCCCTTGACTGGCATTGGCTCTGGTCTGGTCTGACCTTTACTGCACCCCAAGGGCAGCCACAGAGTGTGGCTGCTGTGGGTTTTGCCCCGTTGCCCTGACGACAAGTGCAATTACCCTTGATTGCCAGCTAGTTGCTATGGCAATTTCAAACATAATGTAATAACCCACACAGCCTAGAGTGAGTCATGAAGTGGGAGATGGGGGGCAGCCCCTTCCCCTAGCTCCAGGAGGAAAGATTACTTTCCCTCTCCCATCTTGGTCCCTTTTCTAGAGGCTGAGGCCAGCAACATGGACAATAGCTAAGCAATTCCAAAGATGGTATGGATCATTGACCCCAAGGGAGGGTTCTCGTCAGAGTCTGGGCTTCTTGGGGAGGCTTATGTGGTAACACAGCTACCTCCTAGAGTTTTAACCTTGGCTGGAGCTCTACCAGAGTTAGTAGGGGCTTTGTCAACTAGCCAGAGTATAAGGACATAGAAGTACTGGCCTTTGGTACCCAAGGAAAGGAGTGAAGAGGACATACAAGTTCCAGATCCTGGATGGGAGGCATGACCTGAGCTGGGGAATGTGGCTCTGGCCTGCTCTGTAGACTCTGTGGATATTGAAGCTCACGTCTTACTGCCCCTTTGACTTCCTAGCTTTGCTGGGAGCTAGAACTATAAATTCTGAGCTTCCTTCTCCTCCCTAGTCTCCAGTCTGCAGCTTCTTTCTGCAGGGTGGCCAGGTAGTCCTCAGGAGGATTCATATAGAAGCCACTGAGCAATGCCAATGTCAACTACCTTTGCTCCTGTTTCAAACTCTACTGTGTGCTGAAGGGACTTCCACCATGTCTGTCCCCTGACCCTGTCTGACTTTGAATAGGAAAGGCAGAAACAAAGCTTGAGGTTGTCCCAGTCCATGACTTAGAAGAGCTGCAAGGATGGCATTTGGCTGGTGTTACTACCCCCTGCCTAGAGGGTAGCTGGAGGCTGAAGCTTAAACACTGGAGCTGGTCTTACCTTGCCTGTGTCTCCCTGAATGGAGGCTGAGGGACAAACCGTGCTTTCAAATTGCCCTCAACAAATGACAAAGAGTTGTGTACCCTCACACACACCTGAAAGGAAGGGGCTGCCCTGGTGGGGACCTTGGAAACAGCCAATGATGTATGGTCATTATGACTCTGCCCACTCTCCCCTGGGCATGGTCCAGTTCCTTCCCTTGTTTTACTCTCACAGCCTAATTCAGCCTCCACAATCTTGAGACTTGAGTCAGGGAGGAAGGGGACCCACAGCTCTAGGAACTAGCTACAGCATACTTGCACACGTGCCAGCAAGCATGCCTGAGTGCACATGGAATGCAGACACACGTGCCCCTGGGCACCAGTGCATACACTGTGCTGTTGCCATCTCCCTTGGCATAAGAGAGCATACACGTGTGCACACACATCCTGCCACGTGCTGTCACCCACATGCACACAGTGTGCACAGGACCAAGAAGAGATGGAGTACTGCCAGCAGCAGGCAACGCTCTAAGGAGCCACCCCTTCCCCTGCCTATAAATCCCCATTCCAGTTTCTTCTTGCTCCCCTACCCCCATGCCTGGATAGACATGATTCTCAGGAATTATAGAAAACGTACCGCACGTGGGGTCAGCAAGCCATGGCTTGGCTCCCCTAAATAACTCAGAGGCCCATTGTGTTAAAGAGTAGGCAGATGACAGGAAGGACTGAGTGCCAGGCCATTCACTCATTCATTCTGTAGACATTAGCTGAGCATACTGAGATGAAAAATAGGCTCTGCCTGCACATGCCCAGCTTGCCAGGAGATCCTATCCAGCAGTGGTGTGGGTACCATGACCAAGACCACCCAGAACCCAGGAAGCCCAGAGGCAGTGGCGCCTGGCCTAGAGGAGGTGACCTAAAGCCAGGGAAGGATGTAAAGGGCACCTTAATACTCCTCTGGAGGAAGATATTGAGGCTTCTTATTTGAGACAGTCATTTCTCAGCTTTCCAGCCCCAACTTTATTTGGACAGTTCTTCCTGTCATCAGCCCTGGGTAGCCATGCAGGAGACCCCTACTCAACATGGTTGAGGATTTGAGAATGACCCCTTTCCTGCCAGGGCAATGTAAAGAGGCTCACTGGGAAGAATAGGGTGGGAGTTGGAGCCCATCTCCAGACACCAAAAGGCCTAAATCTGAGCTTTTGATACTCAGGATTTGTGAGGGTAGTGGGGCAGGTATTGGGTCCATGTGCCTCCCTGACAAAGGACAGAAACATAGCTAAGGACTTTATGCAATGTGGCTTCCTAGCAGTTCTGCGCTTCCTCCCTCCAATAAGGGACCAAGCCTAGTGGGACACCTGAGTGCCACAGTTCAATAGCCCCCCATTTTCCAGCCCAGGCCACCTGGGTGATGCTGCTTCATGAAGTGTTTGAGGGTGATTAGATTGGGAAGAAAAGCAGAGCCCGTACCACATCATAGATAACTTTTATATTTTGGAAAATTCAGAGCCATACAGAATGGGGCAGACTGGACGGCCACCCTAGTTGGGACTTAAGGTTGGGAAAGACTTTGGCCTTGCTAGGGTTGGGAGAAGGGTAGTCTGGAGCCCTCATTGTGTTATCCTCTGACCACTCGCACACACACACCTGCGTTTACTGCTCCTAGCTAAGGGATGGCCTAGCAACTGCCCATGTGATTCCTCTAAGTGGGTCCAGTGCTTTGGGTCAGGTTTGGGGAGCTGGGCAGGGCTCCGGTCCCTGGAGACTACTGCCAGCCAAGAGACTTCTATGTAGCTCTAGGACTCAGGTTTTTTTCCAACTCCCCACCTCTGAACCCCCTACATCGGGCATAGGAAAGGCCTTCCCGCTCCTGTTGCCAGGTTGGGAGTATGAGGGCCTAAGGGAGCCGATGAGAGCCTAGTGAGTTCTCACCAGCTTCACCGCTAACCCGCGTGCGCCCTCCCTAGAGTGGGATTCCAGTCTCCAGTTCCGCCAGGGTGGGGGCGGGCCCTGCTTAAGAGGCCCCGCCCCCAGCCCGCCCCCGGCCCGGGGTGCGAATCCACTGCCGGAGAGCGACTGGCGATGCTGGAGGTTCGCGAGCCGAAGCGGCTGCAGCTGGCGCCGCGTCTGCCCCGCGTGCCCGGAGCGGATTCTGAACGCCGCCCCCGGAGCCCTCGGCGCCCTGCTGAGCCCGCGATCGCTGCCTCCCTGTGACAGACCAGCGTTGCAGGTGCGAGGCAGGGAGGGCTGGGCCTGGGGGGCGGGCGCCTCCTGGACGCACGTTGAGGGGGCCTTGGGGGATTGTTTTCCTGACTAGAGATTTGGGGCGCAGAGTGCGCGGGAGCGCAGAGAGGGTTCGGGGTCCCAGCGGGGGCACCTCGCGCGGACTCTGCAGATCCAGCGGGTGGCATGCGGGGTCGGGCTAAAGTTCCCCTTTACCTCGGATGGCCCAGGGGTCCCAGGGGAAGCCTCTGCGGCTCCAAATTGTGCCAACATGAGCCCTTGAAGATCCGTAGTGCCCCGTGAGGATAGGGGCCAAGGGCTGAGCCGTTCCTCCCCGCTCCCAGTGCCGCCTCCAGCCCCTCCCAACTGCCCCTGGGCCCCCACCCTCCGGTTCAGCAGTCACTAATTTCCATGACAACGGAGAGTTCTTTATGGGCGACATCCCAGAGGGGGTTGGGCGGGGCTGCTGCGGGGTTGGGGGAGGAGGTTCCAAGCCCTGTGAATCAGTAGCCCCTTAGCCAAGTGACGGCTTCCAACCCCTCTCCTGAGGGCTAGTTGGGGGTCCAGTGCACGGACCCACGTGCTTAGTGTGGGTGCGGGGCGCACATGTTCCTGCTCGGAGGTGCGGGACTTGGTGCTCACACGTGTGCCTCCCGCATGTGTGTTGCTGTGCCAGCGGGGGCGAACCAGCAGCATTGGGGAAGGGGGTCAGGGAGGCACCATGGTAGAGAGCAGAGTCCCTGGTTGGGGTAGGGGAGACAGAGGGCGAGCTTCTACCTTCCCCAGCTTGTACTGTCTGGCAGAGACCCTGGGCTTTTGACTCCCAGCCCCCCAAAGCTCTGCCAACTGCTTTTGTCCGCACCTCCAGGCAGAGCCTGCTCCACCAGGTTCCTTCCTAGAGAACAGGGCCCTTTTTTCCCTCACCAAAAGCTCAGTCTGCACTAGTCTAGCCCATCTGCACAGTACCCCCACCTCAAGTTCAGCTTTGAGCACCCCAAGACCACCTTTGGAGACCTGGTGCTCTCCTCCCTTTCCCCTCAGAATTGATTCCTGCCAGATTCAGTGACTTCTGGGCCTCAGTTTCTTCAACTGGTAAATTTGTGTCTTCACTCCCCTCCGAGTGCGGATGGTTCCCAGGGTGGGGCAAGGGTCTTCCTTTCATCATTTTGTGTGGAATCCCAAGTGCTGGAAGCGGACTTTACACATATCTGCAGCTGGCCCTCCTCTCTAGCCCTATGCCCTGGCCATCACTCACAGGCAGATGGACAGTCCTCTGCCATGGGAGAAGACTATGATCTTTGTACAGGGAAACTGAGGCATGGGGAGAGGTGGTGTAATGCAGTTGTTATTCTGTTTCTGGGTTGCTTGCCGTGCTGTTTTTGGTCCTCCTGACAAGATCTGCGGTGGGAGGGTGGGGGTGGGGAATAGGGAATTGGTGACAGGATGAAGCTGAGCTACAAGAGGTGCCCTGGGTTCAGCTGGACCAGCTGGGAAGGATTATAAAGGGAAGCAGGCAGGTCTCTGAGCCTCATTTCCATCCTCCCATGCTTGTGCCTTCAACATGTTGGATTTCCCTTATCTAAATTGCCATAATGATAGGGAGAGAGACTGGGAGATTGCAACAGCTGTCCTCTTCCCCACCAAGAGGCCCCAAGAAGCTGACCTCTTTTTGCTATGTCTCCCACGCCAAGATCAGTGTATGTTTGGGTGATACAGGAGGGTTCAGTCTTGGAAGTTCAGATACCAGTAGTCCTGGCCCAGAGGTTCAGTACTCATGGCCATGGAGGCCTTAAGAGCACTGCTGAGCACCCTGAGACCCCTTCACAACCCCCTGCCTACATACCCTTTGGTCTGTGTGCTTTTTAGTCTGTTGCCTCCTTGCTCCTCTTCCATTACAGATTCTGCCTTTGCCTTTCTGTGTCTCTGCCTCTCTATTTAATAGAGAGACTTTAAATCTCTCAGTCTCCCCACCTCCCCTTCTTTGTTAGGGACCAGGGTATGGGGCAGAAGACAGGACAAAGTGTCAGGAAGTTCTTGAAGAAAGAACCTGACAGACACCTCTTCCCTCCCCCTCCCCTTGTTTTAAAACTTCCATCCTTATATCAACACTTCACTCCAGTGCCTTCCTCTGTAGTTCCCCTCCTCCAACCAGAGGGAAAGAGGGCCTCCAGTGGATTCTCTTTTGGGCTTCAAAGATTGGGACTCCAGGTCTTGAGGCCAGGGGCAGTTGGCTCTTGCTTTTTTTTTTTTTTTTTTTTTTAGTGGTACTGGGGTTTGAACTCAGGGCCTCACACTTGCTAGGCAGACGCTTTACCTCTGAGCCACTCCACCAGCCCTGGCTCTTGCTTCTGCATGCATGTTAACGGCTGAACTTTTTGGAGCTAGCACTGGATTGCAAGCCCATGCCCAAGAATAGGGGAGACCATACTCCTTTGCTAAGTGGAGCGAGTAAGCCCCAGGAACTGTTGATGGTGATTCAGCTGGTGCCCAGAGAGGGCAGCCCCCTGTCCAGTCTTCTGAAGCAGTTGCATAGTGGACTAGAAACTTGTCTCTGTTTCCTGCTACCAGATTCTGTGAGGAAGTTTCTGAGGTCTCAGCTATGATTGCTAAACAGGGCTTGGATCTGGGCATGTCCATTGCAGCAAGAAACCAAACCCTAGTCCCTGAGGAGAGCAGAGGAAGGGAGGGGGTGCCTGCAGGCTGGTGTTCACAGCTGCCACTAAATTGGGAGGTGTTGCCTACAGTCGTTGGGAGGCCTCCAGGCCCATGCTGGCCTCTGGAGATTTACTGCAAGCTCTAGAGCTCCGTATGGCAGGAGATAGGGCAGCAGGAAACTCTGCTTATGGCCTATGAAAGGTGAGGCCTGAACCAGATTGACCCCAGGGGGTTAGGGGAAAGGACCCTTATGTGGGGCCTTTTGACTGTTCACTTGGGCTTCCCCTGGGTTAGACTTGACTAAAGATGCAGTTGAACCCCTAGGGGACCCTGCATTACTAAGGCACCAAGGGACAGAAGCTCCCTCAGGGCTGCCTAAGGCTGTAATCCCTGAGGTCCCAGGATCAGGTACTAACTGGGAAGGGCTGGGCCTTCAGGTTCCCAGAGCCAGCTAGAGTGAAGGGCAGTGGCAGAGCCAGGCTCTGCATTGCCCTCAAACTCCCTTTGGGACACACCGCTTATTTCCTCTGCAGAGAAGGAAGGGAGCCATGTCTCTAGGGAAATAGCTGCTGTGGGGCTCCTGTGCCCTTTTTGGGCCAATGTGGATCTGACCTGAGGTAGAGTCCAGGTTCTGTGTCACTGGAAGGAGAGCTCTTTATTGTTTGGTGTTGGGTCTGGGCTATGGGGGTCTGCCTGTCCTCCTACCATTCTTGGAGCTATCACTGCTATCACTTGGCTGCTCCTTCAGCTTTGGGGCCAGGGTCCCTTTTGTTACAGACAAGCTCCAGGAACTTGGTACACACAACCCATAGCCTTCCATAGAGCAGTAGATGGTGGAGTGGGTGGGGGTGGAAGGGATGAAGGTGCTATTTGGAAGCATGGCACCTCTTTCTCCTCTCTTCACCTTGGAACCAGGTCTATAGGTATAAGTGAGTTCAGTTAGACTGGTGAGGAGGGTAGTAATTGGATGAGATCCAGGCAGCCATATTAGGAGGTGAGGCAGATCCATTCCAACACTGAGGCCTATAGGACATGGCTTCAGGGTGATGTTACTATAAGCTTTCCATGAGAGAGCCCCTAAGACTAGCTGTGGATTCCTGTGGGTATGAGTGCATATGCGTAGTCAAAAGCTGGGACCAGGATCAGAGACAGGCGTACACAAAACCTCCCACCCACGCCATACTGGCAGAGGCTATGGCAAGAGCTGTTGGAATGGGGAGGGGGGTGGAGGTTCTCAGGGAAGGGCCATTTTACATCTGACTTGGAGCATCAGGATTGTTTTAGACAATTTGTTGTACAGACAACCTTATAATGTCAGAAATCACAAAGAAAAGATCCAGCCCTGATCTCAACATTTTGGTCATGTGGAGGCTGTTCCAAGGGATGCCAAAGTGGGTAGTGCCCTTGCCAGTGCCCACACTTCCTGCCATTGAGTGGACACAGTCGAGCTGGAGAGTCACCTGTTGTTGGACATTTAAGTACTTGCTGATTTTTTTTTAATGTTATAAATAAATCTGCTGTGACAAATAGGATTCTGATGGGAAGCTTTGGGGGAAGGGCATTTGTGTCAGATGTAATGGTTTAAGGAAAGCACAGAGGAGGGGTTCATGTCCCTGTCTGCCTTCCTGGGAGAGCTGCAGGCTGAGGTACCACCCTTCTGCCCAGTTTATGGCCCTCAGATTCCACCCCAGGAGTGTAATCACTGCCCATTAGAGTGGATAAAGACCAATGCAGTCCTCCCTCAGATATCATGGCATGAAGATGGGTGATTAGCAGTGGTGGATACTTTGTTATGAGCTATGAGAATGGGATTCCAGCCACATGCTCCTCCCAAGCAAATTCAGGAGCAGGGATGTGGCTATGGTGGCAAAGAAACACAGTCGGTGATGTCTTCAAAGCCTCTTTTGTTTGCCTCTGCAATGTTTCACTAGATGGCTTAAGCCCTGACTTGAATCACACTGATGAAATGTATTTGTATTCCCTAAGCCCAAGCAATCCAGATTAAGGAGTTGTGGAATTTCTTTCTTAGTGCTGAGGGCACATTTGAGGGAGGACTTCCAGGGCTATGACCCCTGGGAATTGGGTGGCTGGCCTTTGTCTGGGGGGAAGTGATTAACAGAGCTACCCATGAGACTTGTCTGGGTCCTGGCTTTTGGCCCCAGCTGTCAGTCCCTCTTACCAACTACTCCCATTAGGAATGGCTTCCTCCTTTCTCCGTTACCCGAAGGCTGTGAGGGCCTTTGGGTAGCATCTAGGTACCCAAGGCCCCAACCCAGGTCCCATATACAGCAAGTACTGCTGGTTAGTACGGAGGGAGCACCTGCACAGTCAGAGAGGCAGAGTAGTTTCAGTGCAGCCTCAGTGCAGAGCTTGCTATAGTTATAGGTTCACACCAACCAGGTCTGTAAAGGTCTAGACACAACCACCCCTCTCCTCCCACCTCTGAACAAGAGCAGCTAGTGCCTTTTCCTTTGGATGCTGGAGTCAGTGCCCAGCACCACAGTTGAAGATTGGGCTGTAACTGGCAGAGTTGCCAACCTGTGGGGCACTGTGCTGCAGGTGCACAGAGTGCCTGGAGTGCACTAAGCCAGCTGTAGCTGGTCGGGGGCCTCATACCTGGATTCCTGTAGGCTCTGGTAGTAAAGCACTCGGCAGACTTGCGTTGCTTTTCCTGACCATCACCCCTGCATTACTTCTGACAAATCCTTCCTCTCCAAGGTCTATCCTTAATACTGCCTCTCCACCCAGATTGGAACTTCTCCTGCTGAGGAATGCCCCAGACACCATGCCTGAGTGCAGTATTTACTAAATCAATCAAAGTAATCATAGTAAAAGTTCTAACAGAATATTAATAAGCAAAAGGTATAAATCAGCTGGGCATGGTAGAACATGCCTATAATCCCAGCACTCAGGAGACTGTGGTAGGAGAACTGTGAGTTCAAGGCCAGCCTGGGTTACAAAGTGAGTTTGAAATCAATCTGTGCTATATAGCAAGATTCTGTCTCAATAAAACAAACAGCCTGGAGTGTCTGTCTAGCAAGCTCAAGGTCCTGAGTTTGAATACCAGTACCACCAAAAAAAAGAAAAACAAACAAAAAAGGTCAGCAGTGGTAGTCCCAGCACTCAGGAGCCAAAGGCAGGCTCTGTCTCAAACAAACAAACACAAAGTATAAATTTGCCCCTTCAACGTCCAATTTTTTGTCCCAAAGAGAACTCTTATTTCTTTTGGTGTCTTTTGTGAAAAGTTTGTGAGTGCACACCACTTTATGAACTTTTAAAACTTACTCAAATAGCTTCACCCTCTGCTTACTATCCTATCCCTTGCTTTTTCACTTAACTGTCTTATATTGGTGTACTTTATTCTTTTCAATAGCCAGCTAGTATACTTTAGTATGGATGGCCCTAATTATTCTTAAAATTTTTGAAATACAAGAAAAATTTGGGAATCTCTCAAAAATTTATATGTACACATTTACATGTAATTATCAAGCACACACCTATGTAACTACCACTTAGGTTCAGAAACAGTCCCTCCAGAGCCCCCCCCCCACCTCTCACTGTCCTAACTCAATCACTACCCTCCATTCTCTTGGAAGGAACCATTATCTGTAGTTCCTTTATTTTCATTGCAGTATAATATTCATCTGTATGACTCTATCACAATACATTCTGCTGGTGATAAATATTTATGCTGTTTCCAACTTTTGGCAATTATGGATATGGACACTATAGGAGCATACTTATACAAGTGTTCTGAGGCACAAACATATGCATTTCTGTGGAGCAAATATTTAGGATTACACAGGGCATGTTTGTTTAACCAAACTGGTTTTCAATGGGGAGAGCTGCCCTCTATTAGCAGTGTTCTTGTTTTCCACATCTTCCCCAAAACTTGGGATCTCCAGATCTTCAGAGATAAATATCTGGTGAATGGGTGATTTCAGCCCCTTCGTCTGGGAAATAGCTGAAATTTAAAGAATTTTTTTGATTATTGCTTTTAAGTGTGTATAATGCAAAACTATCCCCTGATATGTCAGCTTAGTGTATTTTTCCTTAGTTGGAGGCTGTTGTAGTTTAGCCAACCACATTGAATGACTGGATGTGTGGCCAGAAAACCAGTTTAAGTCTATGTCTGCCTATCCTCAGGCAGCCCCTGCTGGTGCCATCTCTAAGCCTGGCTTGGCCTGAGCCAGGCTCGGGTTTTCCAAAGGCAGATTCAATGTTGTGGGGAGAAATGAAGAGTAGTACAGCTGACCAGACCCCATCCTTCCTACAGCTTAGAGCCTGGCAATGCCGTTTGGGTGTGTGACTCTGGGTGACAAGAAGAACTATAACCAGCCATCAGAGGTGACTGACAGATATGATTTGGGACAGGTCATCAAGACGTGAGTGCTGGGCCTATTGGGCAAAGGCGGTGGGTAGGCAAGGGCTGGGGAGAAGGGAGAGGAATATACCTTATGCTAAGGCCAGGGCTGAACAGAGTACCTCTTGCTGCAGCGAGGAGTTCTGTGAAATCTTCCGGGCCAAGGACAAGACGACTGGCAAACTGCACACCTGCAAGAAATTCCAGAAGCGAGATGGTCGCAAGGTGCGGAAGGCAGCCAAGAATGAGATCGGCATCCTCAAGATGTGAGTGTGAGGCTTGGAGGTAGAGTGGGATAGAGGTAGTAGGAAAGGGCTTACGGGCAGGAGGCTTAAGGCAGTACCTGCCTTTGGCCAGTTAGTCTTCTGTGGCCACTTCAATGACCAGAACCTCTCCCAGTCCTAACTACTGGTTCCTCCTCCTGCTGCCAGGGTGAAGCATCCCAACATTCTGCAACTGGTAGATGTGTTTGTGACCCGCAAGGAATACTTCATCTTCCTGGAGCTGTGAGTGTGGGTCTGAGGTCCCAAAATTCCCCAATCCCTAAGGCCTTTACTTGTCCCTCTGTTTGCAGCTAAGGAAAGCCCCCCCCTTTCTGGACCTTTGGGGTCCCAAGTCCCTGTGCCTTGCCCAGCCAGCTGCCTGGTGCAGGCAGCCCTCCCAAATGTTCCTGCCCTACCCCCGATCCTGACCACACCGGGCTCAGGGGCTGGTGTCCCTCAGGGCCACGGGGAGGGAGGTGTTTGACTGGATCCTGGACCAGGGCTACTACTCGGAGCGAGACACGAGCAACGTGGTGCGGCAGGTCCTGGAGGCTGTGGCCTACTTGCACTCACTCAAGATTGTGCACAGGAACCTCAAGGTGAGGCCAGGGCCAGAGTCATGGGTGACTTGGCAGCCAGGTTGGGGCTGGGGTGGGCAACGTATCGGGGCCTTGGTCCAGCCTCTAAATTTATGATATCTTCTTTTGCCCACTCATAATGCCATTCTTGGCTGGAGCAGCTGGAGAACCTAGTTTATTACAATCGACTGAAGAACTCAAAGATTGTCATCAGCGACTTTCACCTAGCTAAGCTGGAGAATGGCCTGATCAAGGAGCCCTGTGGGACCCCAGAGTATCTGGGCAAGCAGGGATGGGGGCGGGTAGGAGGGTTGGGAATGGAGGGCAACCTTCCTCCCAGAAAGTGGGTATGGATGGTTCTGTACCTGGCCACATCTGATACTGACCAGCACATGGATACTGTATTTATAGCCCCAGAGGTGGTAGGCCGGCAACGGTATGGACGCCCTGTGGACTGCTGGGCCATTGGTGTCATCATGTACATCCTGTGAGTGGATGGCAGACAGGTGGACTTGCAGTCGGGTGGGATGAGGTCCTGTGTGTATGGCCATCCTGGGTGACCATTCCCCTTGCAGGCTTTCAGGCAATCCACCCTTCTATGAGGAGGTAGAAGAAGATGATTATGAGAACCATGATAAGAATCTCTTCCGTAAGATCCTGGCTGGTGACTATGAGTTTGACTCTCCATACTGGGATGATATTTCTCAGGCAGGTGAGGAGGTACCCAGCATGAGGGTAGAAAGTGTAGGGTGGTAGGGAGGGAGGCACTGCCCTCAGCTGCTTCTGCTGGATTCTGCTCCTGCCCCCCAGTCCACTCATCACATCTAGACAATGAGATGGGGCGCCCATGCCTAGCTCCTCCCTGGCTTTGTCCCCAGCCAAAGACCTGGTCACAAGGCTGATGGAGGTGGAGCAAGACCAGCGCATCACTGCAGAAGAGGCCATTTCCCATGAATGGTGAGCAGGGCCCAGGAAAGGATGGAGAGGCCAGGGTTCTCTTGACTTCTGTACCCCTCATAACTAGAAGCCTCTATCCTTTAGGCCTTGGATGGGTGGGGGCATTCAGAGCTCAGGCCAGCCCAGAGGCTCTGATCCCACATGGGAAGGGCTGAGCAGAGTCTCCACAAAGGCACATACCACTTGTACCCTTTCTAGGATTTCTGGCAACGCTGCGTCTGATAAGAACATCAAGGATGGTGTCTGTGCCCAGATTGAAAAGAACTTTGCCAGGGCCAAGTGGAAGGTAAGGTTTGATGGCTCTCTTTTTTGGCCCTGTCCCAAGTGCTTCTTCTGGCACCCACAGTTTCTTGCCTGCACCACACCCCTACAGCTGAACACAAACTTAGGCCATCAGATGTGGCTGTAGTTCCCATTTACTTCAATGGGAATACTGAGCAGCTGGGTTCCTGGCCTTGGGTGGTGAGAGGCAGCTGGGACACCATGGAAGGGGCTGGGTTTGGCCATTGCCAAGGAATGGATCCAGCCATCCTCACCCTGAGCCTTTCTCCACTATCCTCCTTTCAGAAGGCTGTCCGAGTGACCACCCTCATGAAACGGCTCCGGGCACCGGAGCAATCTGGCACAGCTGCAGCCCAGTCTGCCTCAGCCACAGACACTGCTACCCCTGGGGCTGCAGGTGGGGCCATAGCTGCAGCTGCAAGTGGAGCCGCCTCAGCCTCTGGGGGCAGTGCTACTGCAGCCACAGAGGATGATGCTGTGCATGTTGCCAAGAGTGATAATGTAGCCTCTGCAGACCGTAGTGCCACTCCAGCCACAGATGGCAGTACCACCCCAGCCACTGATGGCAGTGTCACCCCAGCCACTGATGGAAGCATCACCCCAGCCACTGATGGGAGTGTCACTCCAGCCACTGACAGGAGCGCTACTCCAGCCACTGATGGGAGAGCCACACCAGCCACAGAAGAGAGCATGGTGCCCACCATCCAAAGCAGTGCCACACCAGCTGCCAAGGCAGCTGCCACCCCTGAGCCGGCTATGGCCCAGCCGGACAGCACAGCCCTAGAGGGTGCCACAGGCCAGGCTCCACCCTCTAGTAAAGGGGGAGAATCTGCTGGCTTTGCCCAGGAGTTTCAGAGGAAGGAGACCAGCTGAGTGGGCAGCCTGCTGGGGGTTTTGAGGGATGGGCAGAAGGGAGGGAGAGTAGATGAGGGGCTTCTCACTGTACATAAGTCACTGGCATGATGCCCTTGCTCCCCCAAGCCCCCCCATCCCAGTGGGGCATGTCTGGGGGCCACAGGAGAGCAGTCTTCTTTGCATATGTGTGTGAGTGGTGGGCAGGCCAGAGGCAGGGCCAGCCCCAGCCCCTGCATGGATTCCTTGTGGCTTTTCTGTCTTATGCTAGCTTCACCAGTTTCTGTTTCTTGTGGGATGCTGCTTTAGGGATACTCAGGGGGTCCTTGCTCTCCTTTCCCTTCCCTTCCTGCTTTATCATTCCCCGAGACAGGCCCTGCAAAGCCCTATATTTTCCTGGGCCCTAAATTGAGTGGCCTTGCCCTGAGAGCTGGTCCTCCAGCGAGGCCCTGTCAGCGGTCTTAGGCTCCTGCACATGAAGGTGTGTACCTGTGGTGTGTGGGCTGCTCTAGGAGTAGACACCGGCTGGTATAGAGGATGCAGAAATCTAGGGTAGTGCGCTTTAAGTCAAGATCGGTCACATGGCTAGGGGCACTGCATTCTAGCTGTGGGGGTCCTCAGAAGTGAGAGAGAATGAGTAGGAGGGCAGAAGCTTCCATCTTTGTCCCTGGAAAGGCCCTCCTAAGACCCTTGTGTTATTTCTTTGCCCTCCTGAGTCCTGTATTAGGTTGCCATGTGCTCTGATCCTCATACACCTCTAAGGGAAAGGAGGAGCAATTAGAATGTGACAGTGAGACCAGGCACTCAGTGCCCCAGCTTGGCTTGGTTCTTATCCTGGGCCAAACAGGGAGGGATGATATACCCATGCTCTTCCTAAATGCCCACCCCACACAGGCTCAGTCCATAATTTTTTTTCCATCCTGGGGGCCCTGCTGCATGGCTGTTCATCACAGTCTGCTCTGGGGGGTTTGCCCTTCACAGGGGCAGATTTTCTGCTCTTAGTTCAACAACAATATGGAGAGGCTCCTTCTCTATTTCTACTGCTGCTATCAGAGGCCCAGGTGCCTCTGAGCCTCGTTAAGTTGCTTTTGCTGGGATGAGGAAATAGAATAAGACTTCCCAGTTCCCTGAGGGAGGCTCCTGACAGGTGCCCTTTGTCAGACCCTACCACAGCCTGGACAGGCAGCCACACTGGTCCTCGCCCTTGCTCGGCACTCCGTTGTGGTCCTGCCCTTCTCCCTGCATGCCTATGGGTCTGCTCTGGTATGTGAAGGTTGGTGGGCTGTGTGCCTGCTAAACCTGGCAAATAAACGTCACCCTGCAAAGCCTCTGGCCACCCTCTCGCCTTTGCTTCCTCTGTCCTACCGGGGAGGAGCCCCTGGAAGGCAGTGGGGAGGGAAGAGGCTGGGAGCAGGTTCACAGGTAGTAATTGCTGCTCGGTGGGTTGCTTAGGCTGAGAGTGAAGGTCCTCCACAAGTATGTTCTTAGACGTTGGTGATGAGGATCCTCTGGACTCTAGAAATCCATGTGGGTGGTATGTCCTGGGCTAGGTTTGGGGCAAGCAATATCCCCTGAGCTGAGAATTCAAGGGCTGCTGTTCCAACTCTTACTGACCAAGGAGCCTTTTGTTTTATCTTGGGCGTAGAGCTGGAACCCACCCAGGGCCAACCACTATAGCGTCAAACCTTCCTCATGGCCAAAGTGAGCTTCCCTGGGCTGGGGAGAGGGTGGGAATTGCACAAAGGTTCTGTGCTTCTGTGTATTGATTCCTACCACTTGTGGACACCTGTGCTTTCCACATAGGCCCAAAGGACTTCACTGTCTTCAGATGGAACATATCAGCTTTATTATTATGGGGCTCTGCATAAGGTTTCTTCTGGGGAGAGGGAGTAATACTACTTTAAAAGAGAAAAAAAAAAAAAAAGCGTGAAAATCCCTAAGGAGATTTGCTCCAGCTCCGAGGAGTCTCGGTGTTGCTGATTTTTCAGGGAGGACCTCAAAGATAAACTTCTCTGATGTGGGAATAATAAAAGGGGTTTGTTAGTCCCTGGTCTTTGAAGCCTCTGTTCCTCCAAAACTGCAATATTACTATATATAGTCCCGGGTACGATGGATCCTGGGAGGTGAGAGTTAAAGATATTTATCCCTAATTGAGGATCATTAGATCTTACCTGGATAAAGCCAAGGTTAGTGGGTGACTTTAATGGATCAGGATGTAGGTGTTCATCTTCCCAAGTTCACCCATAATCGAAGGCTGAAAGGGGTGGGACATTCTTTCGATATGGGAACTATGGGCTGCCAGCTTAGGATCCAGCACTGCCTGGAGTCCCTCATCAGGACCGTTGTCCCATTCCCTTGCGACTTCAGTCTTGATTGTCCAGAAAGAAGTGAGGAGTCCAGGACTGGTCCACCTCGTACCTGCTCTAGTTTGGGACAACACTCATTCTTGCCGGGTAAAGGGCCCAGTTTACAGCGTCGCTGCCTTCTGCCCTATCCAAAGCAGCAATTGCTCGGGAAGCTCCCGCAGAACCCTTCCCTGGAGAGGCCGGGATGCTACTTGCCATCTGTCCCAAGATGCTCTACGATCTCTAAGCCCCGCCCCCTGATGGTTTGTCCAATCAGAGACAAGCATTCGAACTCCTTCCTTTCCCCCCCTCCTGGGTTCGAATCGGTATTTCCGGTCCGCTCCCGGAAGTCGCTCAGTGGAGCCAAATTTGAAGCAGGTGGGGGGCGCGGCCACGAAGCTGGACCTGTAGCAGTTTCCGTGGTTACCTGGGCCGCTTGAGTCCAGCCACTATGCCTATCCGTGCGCTGTGCACTATCTGCTCTGACTTCTTCGACCATTCCCGCGACGTGGCCGCTATTCACTGTGGCCACACCTTTCACCTGCAGTGGTAAGTGACAACGATGTGAGGGCCTGGTGTTTGTCCTGGTACCGCTTCAGAGCCATGGGATGTCGGGCCTCCAGGCAGTCGGTCTTGGAGCCCAGACGGGTGATGTGGACCTTATTAGACTAGCCCCATGGGAGCTTCCGAACCTAGGCTAAAGTGGGCCAGGCAGAGGTGATAGCTGAGCCAAGCCCAGTCGGGGAGAATTGATCTAGTGAAGAGAGTGGGTGCTTCCTTGATAAAATGTGCGGAGATGTGACTTCAAAACTATTTCTCCATATTAACGAGCCCTTTTATTTCTTCGAGATAGACACCTAATAGGTTTCTGGCAACCCTTAAGAGTTTGTTGTAGTTTTCCTGGTGGTTTGGATTGTTACTATTCAGAATCATCTCCAGACACCACACCAGCAAACCCGGCTTAACATGGAAAGGCTAAGACGTGCTTCCCTATCAAGAGGTCCTGCTGTCTAGAAACATTTTGATGAGGAAAGAATGTGTAACGAATTGTTCCCCTAGCAGTTGTGGACAGCTGTGTTTGGAGGTCCCAGCAAAAGAGATAAAGCAGAGTGACCCTCTGGGGATGGTGAGTAGTAAAAATCACCGGGGGCTTGTAGGTCAAAAGTCCCCATGAAGCAGAGAAACTGGCATTATCCTGCTAGTTGTTGGGTGCTCCATATTTGCAAAGCTTTGTTTAAAGTAATGTTGCTGATAGCCTGAGCCCTCTGCTAAGAAAGCTGTTGTTGTTTGGTTAGGCTAGAAAGCAAGCTCACTTCTGAAAGTACTTTATTTACTGTTTACATCCTCTATTTTCTTTTGACCTTTTACTTTGAACTTTCCTGTGTACCTGTGTATTTGTGTTTTTATGTTTTTACATGTATCTCTTTTTTTTTTTTTTTGAGACAGTATCTCACTATGCCCAGGTTGGCCTCCAACTTCAGCTCCTTCTGCCACAGCCTCCTGAGTGCTGGGGTCACAAGTATGTGCCACTAGCTCACGTGGCTCTTGAAAACATATATTTGGGCTTTTTTTTTTTTTTTAACCTAGGGTGATAATCTTTATATGTAACTGGATCCTTTAGTCCTACTTAAAACTTTGCAATTACTGATGATATGAAGATTAAATGTTATATTTAGTAGGTTTTGGTTAAGTATTTTGATTTTGAGATAGGGTCTGTCTTTGCATGGGCTGGTCTCCAACCTACACCTCCCAAGTAGCTGGGATTGTAGGTGTGCACCAACAGGCCTGGCTATATTTTTAAAAAACTTTTTGTTTGGAATAACTTTTCACTTACAGACTAGTTGCAAAGATATACACAGAGCTATCGTATACTTTCACACAGCTCCCTCACTATTAACATCTTCCATAATATTTGTACTCTTGTCAAGATGAAGAAGTTAGCTGGGCATAGTGGCTCAATTCTGTAATCCTACCTACTCAGGATGTGGAGATTGGAAAGATGGAGGTTTGAGGCCAGCCCAATAAAAAGCAGGAAAGCTGGGCATGGTGGCATATACCTGTCATCCCAGCTACACGGGATGCATAAATAGGAGAATCGTGGACCAGGCTGGCCAGAGTATAAAAGTGAGACCCTAGTTCAGAAAATTAACTAAAACAAAAAGGGCTAGCTAGGTATGTGTGTCAGATGGTAGAGCACCTGCCTAGCAAGTACAAGACCCTGAGTTCAAGCCGCAATACTGCCAAAAATAACACAACTAAGAAATTAGCACTGGTAAAATACTGTTAGTTATACTATGGGTTTTATTTGGATTTTAAAATTTATTTTGATTTTTCCACTAATTCCCTTTTTTCTGTTCTAGGATCCAGTCCAGGTTACTACAGTACATTTAGTTGTGTCACCTTAGTCTCCTATGCTCTGTGACAGTCTTTCCTTTAAAAAAAAAAATATATATATATATATATGTGTGTGTGTATAGAGAGAGAGAGAGAGAGAGAGAGCCTTGACACTTTTACACTTTTGAAGAGGTGCCCCTTAATTTCAGTTTATCTGATTTTTTTTCCTTTTTTCCCCTATGATTAGACTGGGATTTTAGGTTTGAGGAAAGAATACCACAGAGGTAAGGTATCCTTTGTCATGGTGTCTTACTGAGGGGTATATGATAACATCAATATGACTTGTCTCTTGTGATATTAACCTCGGTTACTTGGTTAAGGTGATATCTTCTAGATTTTTCCACTGTAAAGTTACTATTTTTCTTCCAGTATCCTGTTCTCTGAAAGCAAGTCACTAGATCCAGTTCATATTCAAGTAAAAAGGAATGAAGCTCTATGCTATTTGGAATTCTTCTCTAAGGAAAATTTATCTCTTCTCCATTTATTTATTCAGTCATTTATATCAGTATGAACTCAAAGGTGTTTATTTTATTTTATTCTTTCGGGTATTATTCACTACTATTATTTATTTTTATTTTACTGCTGGGAATGCCCTTTGTCTCTTCTGCCTCCGCTTTTTTTTTGAACCCAGAGTCTTGGGCACTCTACTATTGAACTACATCCCCAGCCACTCCACTTTTTTAAAAAATTTATTTTTTTTTTAGTTGTGGAGATCAAACTTAGGGCCTCACATGCTAGGCAAATGATCTATCACAAACTACATTTCTAGACCTTGGTTTTTTGAGTCAGGGTCTCACTATGTAGCCTAGACTGGTCTCTAAGTGAAGTTCCTCCTGCTTCCACCTTTCTAGGATTACAAGTGTGCACCACCATGCATAGCACTCCACTTTTTTTTTTCTTCTTCTTTTTTTTTTTTTAATATGGAACACTTCACAAATTTCTATGTCATCCTTGTGCAGGGACCATGCTAATTTTCTCTGTATTGTTCCAATTTTAGTATATGTGCTGCTGAAGCAAGCACCCTACTGTTTTTATTGTGGTAAAATATACAGAGAAAATTTACCAAATTAAGTCGATGAAGTGGCTCAAGTGATAGAGCACTTGCCTAGCAAGCATGAGGCCCTGAGTTCAAATCCCAGTGCTGCCAAAAAAAGCTCGCCCCAAATTTGCCAAATACTTTTTTCTTTATCTTTTTTTTTTTTTCAATACTGGGATTTGAACTTAATGCCTCACACTTCCTAGGCAGGCATTCTACCATTTGAGCCACTCCACTAGCCCTTTTTTGTGTTGGGTATTTTTGAGATTGGGTTTCTCTCTGTTTTTTTTTTTTTTTGCCCAGGCTGGCCTTGAACGGAGGTCCTCCTGATCTCTGCCTCCTGAGTAGCTAGGATTTGGGATGTGAGCCACAGGCACATGGCCACACTATACATTTTTTTATTGTAATAAATACATGTGATATTCTAGTTACCATTTTAGCCATTTTTAGGTGCAGAATTCAGTGGAATTAAGTACATTTACAGTGTTTTGTAACTATTTCCTAAACTTTTCCATCACCCAAACTGTATCTATTAAACAATAACTCTCCAATACCCTCTATCCTCAGCCCCTGGAAACCTCTATTCTACCTCCCTGCGCTGAATTTTCCTATTCTAGAAGTGGAATCATGTATTATTTATCCTTTTAAGTCTGGCTTATTTATCTAGCATAATGTTTATAAGATACATCCATGTCATAGCATGTATCAGAATTTCATTCGTTTTCATGGATAATATTTAGTTGTATGTTGTGGAAATACCATAACTTGTTTATGCAATTATTTGTAGAGAGACTGAGTTGTTTCCACATTTTGACTTCTGTGAATAATGCTACTTTAAAAAGTTACTGTATAAGTACCTGTTTGAGTCCCAGTTTTCAATTCTTTTGAAATATACCTGGGAATGGAAAGACTGGGACATATGGGGAATCTATCTTTAGCATTTTGAGGAACTGTTATACTGTTTTTCACAGCAGCTGCATTTTTTTTTCAAGCTAGAGTCTCACTATGTTACCCAGGCTGATCTTGAATATCATTTCATGTGTTATTTTTGGTGCTAGGGATTGAATTCAGTGTCTTATGCATGCTAACTTCTGCTCTACCATTGATCTACACCACAGCCCATGCTTTTTTTTTTTTTTCTTTGAGATAGAGTTTCACAGTGTAGCTTCAACTTTGAACTTGTTATCCTCCTGCCTCAGCCTCCCAAGTGCTAGGATTGTAGGTGTATGCTACCACACCTGACTTCTCTGCATCATTTTACATTCCCACCAAAAATACATGAAGATCCCAATTTCTTCTTCATCCTCTTCTCTCTCTCTCCCCCTGTCTTTTGTGGTGGTAATAGGGTTTGAACTCAGGGTCTCATGCTTGCTAGGCAGGTGCTCTACCACTTGAGCCATGCTAGCAGCTTGAGGATTCCAGTTTCTTCACATCCTTGACAACACCTTTTTTTCCCGTCAGTGCTGGGAAGCAAATCCCAAACCTTGCATATTCTTGGCAAGCACTCTCCCATACTTCAACAGCTATCTTAGTGGGTATGATGTGGCAACTCACTTTTTTTAAAATTGTGGCAAAATATACATATCATTGAAAAGACCATTTTAACCTTTTTTCTATGGTACTGGGGAACTCAGGGCCTATAACTCCTCCCACCACCATTCCTTTTTTGTGATTGTTTTTTTTGAGATAGGGTCTTGTGAACTATTTGCCTAGACTGGGTTTGAATTTTGATCCTCCTGATCTCTGCCTCCTGAGTAGCTAGGATTACAGGGGTGAGCCACTGGTGCCCTGCTCATTTTAATAATTTAAAGTATACAATTCAATGGCATTACATATTGTTAAGTATTCACATTGTTGTGCAACTATCACTGCTATATATTTTTTTTTTCCTTTTGGCGGTACTGGGGTTTGAACTCAAGGTTCTGTGCTTGCTAGGCAGGTGCTCTACCACTTGATCCAAGCCTCCAGCCCTTCACTGCTGTTTTAATACCTTTTTCATTTTCCCAAACTGAAATGCTGTACCCTTTAAATAGTACTTCCTAGCTGTCCCCTGCTCCAAAGCCCTGTAACCACCATTCTATTTTCTATCTCAATGAATTTGACTACTCTACATACTTTGTATAAATGGAATCAGACAATATTTGACCTTTTGTGACAGGGTTAATATTCCATTTTATATATATATAAAACACATTTTGTTTATCCACTTACCCATTTGTGGACATTTGATTGTTTCCACTTTTTGGCCACTGTGAGTAATGTTGCTAAGAACATTGGTAAACAAGTATCTCAGTCCCTGTTTTCAATTCTTTTGGGTATTAAATCCAGAAGTAGAATTGCTGGATCACATAGTAATTCTATGTTGAATTTCTTGAGGAACCGCCATACCATTTTTCACAATGATTTACCATGTTACCTATCCACAGCAATGTTTGAAGATTCTAATTTTGCCACATCCTCACATATACTTCTTTTCTTTTCTTTCTTTTTTTTTTTTTTGATAATAGCTATTCTAATGGGAGTCTTCTCTTTTAATACATGAATTTAAAACTGTTTCCCTCTTACTACTGCTTTCATTATATCTCATTAGTTTTGGCATGTTGAGTGTTCAGTTTCATTCATCTTGAAGTGTTTTCTACTTTTCCTTGTGATTTCTTCTTTGACTCATTGTTTAAGAACATGTTGTTTGCTGGGGGTGTGACTCAGCAGTAGACTGCTTGCCAAGTGTGTACCAGGCTCTAGGTTCAATCCCTAGCACTACAAAAAAAAAAAAAAAAGAAAAAGAAAATGAAAAACAGGTGTTTAATTTCCACATGTTGAATTCTATGTTATGTTTTCTTTCTATTATTTCTTTTTAGTTTAATTCCAATGAGAACAGAAAAGATACTTCACATGATTTCAATCTGTGTCTGTTAGGTCTGTTTATAACCTTATTCAAGTCCTCTATATCCTTTAAAAAATTTTTTTAAACTTTTTTTACTGTTGTACTGGGTGGGGGTACATTGTAGAATTTACAAAACCTTTATGTCCTTACTGATTATATTTCTGGTCATTCCATCAATTATTGAAAGTGTGGCATATTGAGATTTCCAACTCATATTGTAGAACTTTTCTCCTTTCAATTCCTTTCCCTCGTGTATTTTTGGACTCTGTTGTTAGAAATACATATGTTTATAATCGCTGTTTCTTCTTGCTGGATTAAACTTTTTGTCAATATATAATTTTTTTTACAATAGTAGTGGGGATTGAATCCAAGATATTGCATACCATTGAGCTACATCTGCAACCCAAATTTATGTTTTTCTTCTTGGTCTCTTTCAACCTTTTGTCTGTTTTGAAGTTAGTATTCTGTCTGCTATTAGTATAGCTGCTTCAGATATCTTTGGTTACTGTTTGCACTGATTATCTTTTTCCATTTCTCTCTCTCCCTCTCCCACTCCCTGTCTTAGGAAGGTCTATTTCTTTAATCTATTTTCTTTCTACATTAGCTTTCCATTTCTGCTATAGCAAATTACCATTAATTTAGTGGCTTAAAACAATACTAATTATTATCTTACCGTTCTGAAGGTCAGAAGTCCCAGATAGGTCTTACTGGGGTAAACTGAAGTTGTTAGTAGGATGGTAGAGTGAATACCAGCATATGTGAGGCTCTGGATTCAGCCCCCAGGGATTGAGTAGGGGAGAGGGGAATCTTCCCTATTTCAAAATCATGAACTTAATCATATCTGTAAAATTCCTCTTACCACATAAGGTAACTTATTCACAGGATTTAGGAATTAGACTGAGATCTTTTTTTTTGGGGGGGTGGCATTATTCTCTCTACTAATTTCTTTCTGGAACTCCTATTTATAGATGTTCTGGAACTTCTACTTACACATCTCTTATCATCTCTATACATTTCCTATGTTTTTAATTCTTTTGTTTACTGGGCTGGTGATCAAACCTAGGACCTCCAACATGCTCAACCATTCCCAGCCCTCCATCTGTTTCTTGTCACCTATCTTTCAGTTTACTAATTCTTCAGCTGTGTTTCAAATGCTGTTAAGCCAGTTGCCTGTGATTCATGCCTATACTCCTAGCCACTCAGGAAGCAGAGATCTGGAGGATCTCTACTTCAAAGCCAGCCTCAGGCAAATAGTTCAAGAGACCCTATCTTGAAAAATATCCAACCCAAAAACGGGCTGGTGAAATGGCTCAAGCCATTCAAGCTTGAAGCCTGAGTTCAAATCCCAGTACCACCCAAAAAAATGATTTTGGCCATTTTTCAGTTTTAGAATTTCTGTTTGTTTCTTTTCTTTTTCTTTTATTTATTTATTTTGGTGGTACTGGGTTTTGAACTCAGGACCTCACACAAGCGCTCTTGCTACTCGAGCCACTCTGCCAGCTCTGTGTGTGTATGTGTGTGTGAGATGGATTTTTTCAAAATAAGGTCTGGTGAACTATTTGCCTGGGGCTGGCTTTGAACCACAATCCTCCTGATCTCTGCCTCATGAGTAGCTAGGATTACAGGTGTGAACCACCAGTGCCTGGCTTTTTTTTTTTTTTTTTTTTTGAAGGACATCAATTTTGCTACATTGCCTAAGCTGGCCTCAAACTATTTGCAGTCTCTCTGCCTCAGCTTCCGTAGTAACTGGTGGAATTATAGGCATGGACCACCACACTCCGCTGTTTGGTTCTTTTTAAATTTTGCTATGTCACCTTCCTGTTCCTAATTCTGTACTGATATTTTCAGGCTTTTATTTTATTTTTATTTATTTTTTAGCATACTGCATTTGGTTTGTGTCTGAGATTCTAGTATCTAAAGTCTTTATGGACATGTTCTTCTGGTTTGTGCTCATAGTCCTTTTTTCCTGTGTGCCTATTTACGTTAAAAAATTATTTTTCAGGGGGAAGAGGGAGGGGGCAGGAGGCAGGGGGGAGAAATGGCCTCTCCCCAAAAAAGTTAGCTTTTCATGAATAATGCATAATGACATATTTTATTGTGTAGTATTTAAACATAAAGAAAAAAGAAACAATATAATACTAATACCCTTTATTTATGGTTTATGTGACTATTAAAAATTCTTAACAATTTTGTTCAATTTTTTAATTAAAAAAATGCAGAAAATAAAAAAAGAAACAAAAGCAGTATAATAATTCTCAATTATGAAAATAAAAACTGCATAAAAACAAAAAAAATTATTTTTCAGGCCAAAGAAGTGACTCAAGTCGTAGAGTACCTTCCTAGCAAGTATGAGGCTCTGAGTTCAAACCCCAGTGCTGCCAAAAAAATTATGTTTCTACTGACGTATAATATTGTTAAAGTATACATATAGTAAGTGTATATATAATAAGTGCATAGTTTGTAGAATTTTTTTTCACAAACTGAGGACATCCATGCAGCCAGAATTCAGATCAAGAAATAGGATATAGGGCTGGGGTGTGACTCAAGTGGTAGAGTACCTGCTTAACAAGCATGAGGCCCTGAGTTCAATTCCCACTATCACCAAACAACAAACAAACAAAAGAAACAGGAAAGCCAGGCACTGGTGGCTCAAGGTCAGTGATCCTAGCTACTTAGGAAGCTGAGATCAGGAGGATCATGATTTAAGACCAGCCCAAGCAATAGTTTCTCAACACCCTATCTCCAAAATAACTAGAGCAAAATGTACTGGAGATGTGGCTCAAGTGGTAGAGCATCTGCTTTTTAAGTGCAAAGTCCTTTTTTATGTGTCTGACTTCTGTTCTTCAATGTTATATTTTTGTGATTCACCCATAATATACTTTTTAGTTGACTCATTCATTCTCCTTGCTGTGTAGTATTCCACTATGCCTGGTTAGCCTTGATTATATGTTGTACATGATCTTCATAATGTATGTGTAGGAAAAATTTGAGCTTAGGGTAATGGTATCACTTTCCAAAGAGGTTTTTGTTTGCCCCTGGTCACTTTTGGGTGAGGAAGTCTACTAGTAGGAGACTATTTCCCTTTATGTCCCAGACAGGGCTGGCTTACAACTTGAGATCCTCCCTACCTCAACCTCTCATGTGGTGGGATTGCAGGTGTGAACCACAATGCCTGGCAGGAGACTACTTTAACTAAAGATTAAGTCTGGAGTTTTGCTGTACTATGCAGACGGTGTTAGTTTTTACTATTACTTACCCTTACCTTGAAAGAGTAGCCTTTAGAATCTTAGCTTAAAGTGGGGGTATTATCAGTACCTATTTCTGAAGGACCCTGGGTTTTGACTGTCACCTCCCACTTATCAAAGTCTAGAGGGTTGCTGGAAGAACAGCTTCTGGCCAGACCTACCAGGGTCAAAAAATAGGGCCAGTTGATTGGAGCGCCGAGTACTAGTCGGGCCTTGTAGGAGGTACTGTAACTACCTGTGATGCTGTCCTCATGCATGCTGGCATTGGGTCAAGTAAGAGCAGGTTGGGGCGACTAATGGCCTGCATCTCCAGACTTTCCAGGGCTCACCAGTCTATTTTTTTGCTTTTCTTCCAGTCTAATCCAGTGGTTTGAGACAGCACCAAGTCGGACCTGCCCACAATGCCGAATTCAGGTGAGGATGTTGGGGTGGGACCACCTTAGCTGAACACCTCTTCTTCTCTGCAACTGGGCAATATCTCTGATCTTTTTTGACTCCTGGTTTGAAGCCAGTTGAGCCTCACCCATGCCCACGAGTTGCTTGGGAGGCATGCTTACACCTCAGGTAGCTGGACCATTTTCACCTGGGTGTATTTTGCCTCCTTTCTTGTTTAGAAATGCCCTATTACCTTAAGTTGAAGTGTGTTTTGAGTACTCATCATATATGTCTGCAGTGACATGACTTCAGCAGCCACCAAACCAGCATTCCCAGCTTGGGGAACCTGCAGTAATAAAGAGGTCTTCTGAGTCCAATGGATATGCTTTGTAAAGAGGCCTGAGAACAGACCTGGCATGTCTGTTAAGCAGGCAGTTGGACCCACATACAACCCTTCCTCCTTGCCCATAACTGAGCTTTGCAGTCATTTTCTGTCTTGTTCTCCCATCCAGGTTGGCAAAAGAACCATTATCAATAAGCTCTTCTTTGACCTTGCGCAGGAGGAAGAGAGTGTCTTAGATGCAGAATTCTTAAAGGTACTTAGAACTTATCTCATTCTATCAAACTCCAAGCCCCAACTTCCATAGGAGTTCACTTTTCACTTCCTAATAGAAAGGGTGTCTAGAGTATGGAGATGGGGTTATGGAGCGAAGACTTAGTAAGAGATTTCAACAAACAAACAAAGCAGAGGTCAAGTAATGATGAGACATAATCATCAGAGAAATACACTATAAGGAGAGAAGAGGTTGCTTTACTGCGCTACCCTCCCTAGGGGAGGCACCAAAGAACAGAGTGCCTCTCCCAAATGCCCCTCATCTTACAATTATTATTATTATTTTTTTTTTGGTGGATCTGGGGTTTGAACTCAGGACTTCACACTGGCAAAGCAGGAGCTCTACCACTTGAGCCACATCTCTAGTGTGTCGTTCCCCCTCCCCCCCCCGCCCTTACCTTATGAAGGGCTTATAGCCTTTCTGCCCAGTTCACTTTCCTGCTGGACAGTTAGTGACATACTAGAAAATTCTTCCACTCCTCAGCCAACAAAGATGTATGGGCCCACTGTTCCCTAACCTGTTATGCCTCAGACTTGCCTGGAGAACTTGGTATAAAGCCAGATGCCTGAGCCTTCCCTAGACTTGTAATAGAAGCCCCTGGAATCAAAATCTGTAACCCATGTGGAAACCCACACTGCAATTGAGAGTAAATTGGTTCCCTCCTGTACTTCTACTGTTTCTGAAAAATTTAACATTCTTTGTATGTGAGGGGGCTGGATTGGCAGAAAGCTCTCAAAGAAGTTGGATTGGGGTTCACAAGTGATCCCTGGACTCTAAGGGTTAATTTGCTGAGCATCTGTCAGACGAGAGTTCATTTGGCCCTGGCCCCAGGGTGTCATGATGTCCTTGGAACCTCACTGCTTCAGGAGTGTGGAGCTTTTGTGTTTTGAGCCAGCATGTTTATCGTCATGGTAACTGCTCCCAGTTTTAAGAGATATCTTCCCTGTGATGAAGGCGACAAAGGCAGCTTCGTTTCTTTTGAGCTTTCAAAGCCAGGTCTGTGAAACAGTGAGGCAACATTTTGCATAGTTTGGAGAAAGGACTTGGGAAGCACCCTGCTGTGGTGTGGAAGGAGCCAGGGGACTATGGGTAATGGTACAGCAGCCTTGGTCTGGTGTCTGTTCTCAGGCAGACCCTGTGTGTCCTTCTCTAACCACCATTTTTACCCCCTGCTTAGACTACACTGCCCAGCCAACCACTAGAAGCTCCTTTCCCCAGAGTCCTGGGTACAGAGTTCTATGGCAGGGTGTTTATCTACCCATTGGTCCTGGCCTTAGCTTTTTTGCATGTGAAATTCTGAGTCTTGTGTTGAGTTCAAAAGGGTGATATTGATGATGGTTTCCTGGATTCCATTCAGCTACTACCATGGACTCTTGACTAAGCTATGCAAAAACTTGGTTTTCCTGATTATGGAGTAGGCACCTCTCTTGCTCACAGGAAAGTTGAATTCTCTAAGTTCCCAAATGAGAATTGGTTGATTTCTACCCCAGGCTCTTAGTACTGTGGCAGTGGCTATGTAACATATGAAAGGGCTTCAAGGGACTCAACTGACCTTCACAACAGTGACTAGAGCCTAGTTTCATCTGTAGATGAATAGCTGCCTTGGCTTACCAACCCTTATTGGATTTTGGGGCCGAAAAGTTTTGGTACATAGAGCTAGGTGAAAGCTTGGAAGGAGGGAGATTGTAAAATAAGCAGGATCCAGAGAGGAGAGAGCTAGTGGTAACTTAGGGACTTTGGCCATCCCTGTTCTTTGTCTCTGGTGAGTATACCTGAAGCCCAGAGAGGTTGAGGCTAGTAGGGGCCAGGGAAGTGATGGAATCCTCTTCTTCCACAGACTCAATTTTACTTCCCTTACCCTTATTCTACCTTTTTTCCCTGTGCTGAGAACTCATTCCTAGGATTAGTTTCCCCCATCTTACCTATGTTTTTGAGACGCCCATAGAAAGAACTGTGTGGCTCAAGTGATAGAGCACTTGCTTTGCAAAGCACGAATCCCTGAGTTCAAGCCCCAGTATCACCACCAAAACAAAACAAAATAAGCCCATAGAATGGTGAGCATGGTGGTGCACACCTTTAATCCCAGCACTTTCAGGCTAACCTTGTCTATATAGTGAGACTGTGTCTCAAACAAATAAAGTAAAATAAAATAAATTTTATTTTATTTAGCTCTATGTCCATAGAGCTAAAACAATGTGTTTCTCCCCCCATTATTGGTTTAGCTTGGCCTTGAGTCTGTTTCCTTAAACCTACAGGCCTAATTTTCTCATTCTGGGACTTCCTATAGTCTTAGGGAGACCATCTGGACATTAGCTATAACATATTCCTATTGCTTATTATGGGTATTGCTTTGCAGAATGAACTGGACAATCTGAGAGCCCAGCTTTCCCAGAAAGGTGAGTTAACAAGAGACAAGGGGCCCTGGAAAGCCTTAACTTGGATATTGGAGGGAGGGGTACTAGAAAGAAGGCTTCCAACCTTCTGTCAAAGCCACAGACTCTCTCTGATTTATATGTCCAAGAGTCTTGTCAGCTCTTGTGACTAGCAGAAAAGGAGAGAAAAGGAAGGTGACTGAAGCTATCTGCCTAGACCAGGTGAGTCTCTTCTTTCTGGAGCTTCTTGCTCAGGAGCCAGGCTGTGAGAGGGTCACTTGATGGAATAAGGTAGGAAAAGGTTCAGCTGCTGAATTTGACAGGAACCTGCTTGAGTTCTGGAAGGATGAATTAATTAGATTCACAGGAGGAAGAATAGTGAAATCTTCCCAAGCAGTTCAAGCAGCAAAAAGAGAGCTTATCTCCTGGATGAAGGCTCTGGCTAAGCTTCCTTGGTGCATGCCAGAAAGAAAAGCAGGCCATTCAACTTTCTGGCCTGAACTTTCTTCCTTACCTGGCTCATGGATGAGGTGCTGGAGCCCAAAGGCCCAGGTTCTCATGCTAATAGTTGGGTGGGACTCTCTCTTTTTCCATCCTTCACCCCTGTTCCAGAGAGGGAGAAACGGGACAGCCAGGTTATCATTGACAATCTACGGAACATACTGGAAGAGCGCAACACCACTGTGGAATCACTACAGAAGGCCTTAGGCAAGTCTGAGATGCTGTGCTCCACTCTCAAAGTAAGTCCCCAGGTTCTGCATGCACAGATTTGGTGGGAGGTATAGGCCCAGTTCTGGGCTCACCATTCTGAGCTTATTTTTTGGTTCTACCTCAGTCAATACGTTGGTTTTTACGGAAGTAAAATGGAAGCAAACTGTTCTTTTCTCCAAGGCCTTTCGTACTGTATCCATCCAGCTCATAAGAAAAGGTTTATACTGCCTGTGTTTGTGGATTTTGAACTAAATAGTTTGGAAAGGCAATGCCTTTCCAACACTTCACAAAGGTGCTGCTCAACTAAGACCTGGGTGAGGCTAGGCCATGTTTCCAAAAGTGACTTGTACTCCACTGATGGGGCCAGCCTGAAGAATCTTCCATTAGCACTTCAGTCTTTGGCCAGGATGCTCTCTAGAGCCAGATCAAACAGCATCCCATGGAGGAGCAAGAGCCTTTGAAGTCAGCTGTGATGAGCCAACCCAGCAGATCAAAGTCTGTAAAGCAAGCAGCCCTAGACCCAGATGAATTTTGTATCAGCCTGGGTTAGTGAGCCTCTTGCTCTCCAAGGGGCATGATGCGATTGATCTGAACCCATGATTGATATTCTGGCCTTGTAGGCAGGAGCAGTCCTTGCTGGATGCTATTTGAAAGGGAAAGAGAGTGATCCTTGTGAACAGACAAAGCCTCAGGATATTCATTTTCTCAGTTCCTGCTTGGGAGCAGGGCTGTATCACATGGACCCACTGGTGGGAGGGAACACATTTGCACCTGGCTACAGAGTGGGAATCTCTGATGACATTCACAGGTTAAAGATGGAGTGGTCTTGTGTTGAAGGCAGCCTGGTCAGCTGCTCCTGGCATCTGTTTCATGAGCCTGAATATCTGGTGGTGAAAGCTGGGGTTTGTGCTTTTTTCTTCAGCAACAAACATAACACACATCATGAGGCCCAGAACACAGAACCTAGGCCTGTAGGTGCTAGCAGAAGACTGTGCTTATGATAAGACATATCTCAGAAGGAAGCAGGCAGGTTGGTAAGGCAGACCAGGCTGGGGATGTAGCTTAGTGGTAGAGTGCTTGCCTAACATGCACAAGGCCCTGGGTTTGATCCCCAGCACTGGGGTGGGGGGAGAGGGGGAGACAGAGCAGACTAGAGTGGACCCCAGGACCCTTACCTCCTTGGATTTGGTGATGTATAGTTATCAGCATCTTCAAAAGATACTGTGCAGGGCTGGGGGCATAGCTTAAGTGGTAGAGCATTTGTCAAACGTGTGAGGCCCTGGTTTTAATACCCAGTACTGAAGACAGGGAGAAAAAATATAGTGCAGGTAATTCTAGAGTGGAGTGCTCCACATAACTTTAGTCATGGCTTCTGGGAACCTCTAAGCAAGGTGTTTGGATGTGTTTGCTCTTCAGAAGCAGATGAAGTACTTGGAGCAACAACAGGATGAAACCAAACAAGCACGTGAGGAGGCACGTCGACTCAGGAGCAAGATGAAGACCATGGAGCAGTGAGTTTGGAGCTGGTGCCTGTACTGTGTCTTCATAACCAGAGTCCCAGGGTAGGATAGTTCTCAGGACTGCAGCAGGAAGTGGGAATGAGTCACCTCTGTCTCAAATTTCCATAGGACATGGAGGGCATAGCCAGTCACATATGGATACAAGTTTCCTTTCTTAGCCTTAGGACTAAGTAGACTTCTCCACTTTTCATGAGTGCCCTTGCCTATTCCTTCCTGTCCTGTTGCCTGTGGCCAGATGACCTACCAGATCTTTCCTTCTAGCAGCCTCTCTACAAGAAATCCCTGACTTTCAGGCCATCTGTTAGCACCTCTTATTCCTCAGCAGCATCCCCAGAACTGTGCTCAGCTCTGCTTTGAGCCTTTCCTTGGGCAAACATACCTGTTAAAGCATCCTAGCAGCTCAGGCTGTTGCCATAGCAATAGTAGCAGAGAGGCAGAGTAAGCATCAGCCTCCAGATTTCAAATGCTATGGGCTGGGTGTGTTTTTCAGGATTGAACTCCTACTCCAGAGCCAGCGGCCTGAGGTGGAGGAGATGATCCGAGACATGGGTGTAGGACAATCAGCAGTGGAACAGCTGGCTGTGTACTGTGTGTCCCTCAAGAAGTATGTACTTCGGGGAGAAATGACCCAAACATTTTATGCACATATGGATAAAAGGAAAAAAAAAAGTATGTACTCTAGCCCCATTAACAAGCCCAGGAGCTTGGCTATGGGTTTCCAGCCATGTCTCTGCTGTCCGTATCTTAGAATGCAGATGTAGCTTAGTGGCAAGCTGTGGAGCCATGCTGCCTTAGGTTGAACCCTGAGTCTATCTCTCACTTGCTGTGTGGCTTAGAGCCAGTTTCTAGGTCTCTCTGACTGTCACCTTGTATGGAGATGGTTATAGACTATTTCATAGGGCTGTTGATAGAACTGACTGAATTGTAAGTGCTGTTTCTAAAGAGTTGATGCAGCTCTCTGAGCTGTAAGCCTCCGTGTGATACCTGGAGTCTGTTTTCCATCAGCACTGTTACTGACCCTGCCTGGCTTGGATCAGAACGTTTGCTCATATTCTTCACTATGGTATTATGAAGTTGGTGGTAAGGAGGCCACTTGGAAGACCCACAAAGAGGACCCAAATGCTCTCTGTAGGGAGTCCCCTAGTGAAGCCAGAGCTTCCTGTGCATCCTCTCAAGTCACCAATGCCTGCAGACCAGGCAAGGAATAGTGTCACTAGGACTCCTTGTATTATTTGCAGGACCTTCCACAGGGCTACCTGGCTCCTGCTGGACTCAAATGTCAGAGGGAGAATGAGAATAGGGTAAGGGTTTGGGTAAGACCTTGAATTAGGTTGGTATTATGGCTTGGTCTGACCAACAGAGTGTCCTTTTCTGGCATCTCTTTCTCCTGGCCATTTTACAGAGAGTATGAGAATTTGAAAGAGGCACGGAAGGCTTCGGGGGAGCTGGCTGACAAGTTGAAGAAGGACTTGGCCTCCTCCAGAAGCAAGGTAGCTGAGCAGGAAGCAAAGAATGAAGAGGGAGAGGTGTCTCTTTTGTCATGCTCATTCAGGTCTCCTGAGCTAGGCTGTGAGGAATTCAGAATGGCCTACAGAGACTGGCTACTGGTCCTTACTGGGCATTGGCTCTGACTATATGGCTTGTCCACTTAGGGCAGCAAATTATGGAAGTATCCCCTACCAACATGCTCCCTTTGCTCTTTCTGGTTCCTGGGCATCTCTTAGCTGGCTGAACAGTACAGGCCCAGGAACCAAATGTGACAGCGTCAGAGACCTGTTTTTGTACCAGGCTCAGAGTAGGATGGTTCCTGGGCCAACTCCTTTTACTTCTGGCATGATGCATCCACATGGTGCGGTGTGTAAGAGACAACTTTTGCTCCCAGGCAGCCCTGCACATGAGTTGCCAAATTGAGTCCTTCCCCATAACCCCAGTTTCTTTGGTTCCCCAAGCTACCCTGACCATGCCCTGGATAGCAACAGGTGGGGAAGGACACATGACCACCACTTGGCTTGTACTTTACTCCCTATACTTTCTCTTTTCTTGCAGTTCTGGGATTGAACCCAGGGCCTTGCCCATGCTAGGCAAGTGCTCTATCACTAAGCTACATCCCAGCCCTCTCTACTCTTTCTTGTAGTTGCAGACAGTCTACTCTGAATTGGATCAAGCCAAATTAGAGCTGAGGTCAGCCCAGAAGGACTTACAAAGTGCTGACAAGGAAATCATGGTGAGGGACATCCTTGACTTGATAAAAATGAGGGGTGGTATTTTGCCTCCAAGAGAAAAGCTGGGATGTTTTTACCCAGGAATATGTATATCTGTAGTCATGGTTCTGGGCTCCCTGCATCTTTCTGGGTTAGAGGAATTGGTCAGGATGTGCAACTGGTCTGGTCTATAGCCTAGGTCTCCTTGGGAGAGGGCAGACATCATCATGGGTCTTCCTCACAATCTGTTCTGTACCTACTTCCCCAAGGGCCTTATTCACCACACAAGGGCTTTATCAGAGAGGGGTTCTGAAACCTGGTGCTGAGGTTTCAGGCCTTACTCTGTTCCCAGTGTCCTTCATGCATGCTGCTTGTCCTCTGCATTATCTCTGGACTCAGTGCCTCAGCCTTTCTCTCACACTCTTCTCTTTCCTTCTCCAAGAGTCTAAAAAAGAAGCTGACAATGTTGCAGGAAACCTTGAGTCTGCCACCAGTGGCTAATGAGACTGTCAACCGCCTGGTTTTAGAGAGGTATGTTGATCCTCTGGGGTGGTGTAGAGGTCACAAGCTGGGAGAGCTGCCTGGAAAGGGTTTTAATTCCTCCTGGCTTTGGTAGGGCAGTGGCCTATGGGGACTTGAAATTTGTGGACCTCCTGTCCTGGAAGCCAGCCAGGATTTATCTAGAAAGCCATTTTGAGATAAATCTGGACTCTGATAAGGAAAGGCCAGGGAAGGCCAGAGAGAATCAAAGTGTGGTCTGAAAATGGGGTAGGAACACCATCTGCCTTGGAGCATCCTGGAGTGTCTTGCCATACACATCTGTTCGCCTCCATTTCTGAAACAAACAATGGCTCATTCTAAAATACTTTCCTCTGGTCTCAAGAATGCATACTTTAAAGCTTCCAGCAGAGGGAGCCAAGAGGCAGAGGGATTTGTGTCCCTGCCAGGAATACACATCCATTCCTAGCTGGCTGAGAACACTCTCTGGACTATTTCCTGCCTGCAGCTCCAGCTGGGGAGCCAGACAAAATTCCTGTTAGTGACCTAGTGTTTTATTTGAGTTAATTTTCAGTGTCCTCTAGCAAATCAGTAGGCTCCTTCTTCCTCACATCCAGTCAGTTGCCAGTATCTGTCCATCTAACTCACCTGTGTGATAACTCATGGCCTTCCACCTTGCGCCACCTCCAGGTGAAGCTTATGACATATATGGCTGCCCCTTTTGTGTGCCCAGAATGTCAGCCCCAGGGAAATTTCCTCAAAATATCTCTTAAGTATCATGTCTCCTACCCCCACAAATACCTCTCATATCCCTTGGTACTATGCATTCATGAGGGCAGCCTGAGGGTTTCAGTGGATCCTCAGACTCCAGCCAAATCACACTGTCAACTACAGTAGGACACTTCTTCCCTTACAGTCTCTGTGCTTCACCTCTTCTCCACATTGAAGGGTCAGCTGTCCTGCCCAGCCTGTCTTAGTTTCCTTGGCAGGAATGAGCTCAGCTTTCTTTGCCAAGTAGCATTTCTTATTCACATGCTGTGCCACGAGCTATGGGCCACAGAGGTGCTCTAGTCTTTCTGGACCTGGTCATCCCAATATGTACCACATAGCTCTCAGTAGACTGAGAGCCCCTTCTTAATCTATATCCTTGATCACTAACTTCCTGACACATGCACCCTGCCCTTTTCCTCACCATAGTACCTGGTCTGCATCTGCACGGGAGAGTAAACTAGTGGCACCTACACCAGTTTCCTTTATTCATGTATTTTAATTCCTCAGTTTTGTTCTCCCCTTTCTTACCTCAGCATCTCTCTATGGAGCCAGAGCTGCCTATCTGCCTGTTCCACTTTGGGTTGGACTGAGAAAGGGCTGTGAGATTATGATGGGTATATGACCTTCCATAAGGTGCAGCATGGGGTTGATTTTGATAAACTACGCTCTGTTTATGGTCCTTCCTCCCCATCTTACCCTCAGTCATTGGGCATACCTCCTTAGAAGCCCAATGACTTATAAGTGTCCTTTCAGGAGCTTAGTAGGTATTGGAAGCTGTTAGCCTTTGAGACCATGTGATATAGAACCCAAGTCGCCTCAAGGCAGGGGTATAGAACCTTTCCCCAGGATATCACCAATGGCTGCTATCTGCAGTCTGTTCCTGGTGCATCCTCTGGCTTCCATTTTGTGGGCCTCAGGGTATTGCTATATATTTGTCCTCTGGGCCTAGCATCTATAGTGAGAGAAGCATAAGCCACAGGCCATCTCTAGGTGCCCAGGGACTTTGCATACCTGCTTCTGCTACTTCCTTTACCACTCCAGGCTGGACTCCTGTTACAGGAGTCTGTAACATGCCTACTGCATACTAGACCTTCTCTGTCCTCTTGGGCCTTGTGTTCCAGTGGGATAGATGAACTGGGGGTTTAGATGGTTAAGCCCAGGGCCCGAAAGTTGCACACTACATTGTGGACTTTGGTCTGGAGCTTCCAGGTGAGGATGAACCCACCTCATTCTCAGTACATTTCATATCAGGACCTATAACCCACCTTGGTACAAGGAGGACAATTCTGGTCTCCCTTGTCTTTCATGCTAGCAGGACACTCCATTTGCCAAGCCTACTTCTGTACAGAGGTGGGCCTTGCTTCCCATTAGGCTGGGAATAAAAATTTGGGTAGTATCTGGGCTTAGTGGTATACAACTGTAATTCCAGCTACTCGAGAAGCAGAGGCAGGAGGATCAAGAGTTCAAGGCTAGCCCAGGCATAGGTAGCAGTGAGACTCTGTATCAACAAAATAAAAGTAAAAAGGGCTGGCATGTGGCTCAAGTGGTAGAGGGCTTGCCTAGCATGCATGAGGCCCTGAGTCGAATCTCCAGTAGCACCAAAAAAAAAAAATTGGGGTAGGAAATTTTTTGCATTTATTATTAGTCCTTCTTTTAACCAGGAACAGCCTATTCTAAATTCAGTTTCCTCTCCTAGGGTCTCAAGCTCTCAAAAACAGTTGTTGACTCTTCAGTGGCAGCTTTGCTCTGTTTTCTTTGTGCTCTGATGCAAGACCCTTGGAACTACAAGTGACCTCAAAGATCCTGTCTCTATCTCTCCCCCTTAACAGCTGACATGTTACTGTGTGGCTCCAGGAGAAGTTTTAAGCTTTCCTGATATATCACAATGTGTATAGGCACTTTCCTTAAACCAACATTTAGATGTGAAGGAAGATCTGAAGATCAGAGAGGATGGCAAGTATAAAGGCCCTGAGGCATGACTGAGTTGGGTATGCATGGAAGAGAGGGACAAGTAGCAGGGAGGGGCACATCTCTGTGGGGCTTTGCAGGTCAGAAGAGTTATCCTAAGGACAGTGAAAACTGTTGGGGATGCTTAAGAAAGATTGCTCTATGAGTTTGGGACATGCCTCTGATTTTCATCCCATTGCCCACTGATGATTCCTTAAACCATGCCTTGCTTTTCAGGCCTGTTTAATGCTCCACAGCTTCCTCCTTGTAGATTCTAGGTGCGATGTCAGCCTTCTATCCTCTTGGCCAGGCTCTCTCCCAGAATTTTGTCAAAGGCTCTTGAGTGTTGATTCTGCCCATCCCATTGTTGCAGTATGATGTAGGCAGGCCCAGTTAGACTTTTCCTGTATGAGCCTGAACTTGATGCAGTTGGCAAATAGTGGCATGAGTGGTCCTGGATGCTGCTTTATTCTGGTTCCTGGAGGGAGAAGCAAAGCAGCCAGTGTGGAGTTGATTTCAGGTGGGTGTGTGCAGCCTTCATTTCCACTTTCAGGCAGAGGAGAGTAGAGCTTCCAGGGACCTGGCCAAGGAAAGGGAGAAATAGTCTAGGCTTTCCAGATTGCTTACCCAGTTGAATCCATGCAGATAGCTCCCTTTCCTCTGATCTGAACACCCCAGCTGGAGCAGGGCTGTGGTATAGCTCTGAAAGGTTCCTGAGGGAAGGAAAAAGGGAGAGTATGCTTGGAGCTGCCCTTTCCACCAGTATTCTCCTAAGATCACAGGAGCTGGAGAGTCTTGGTAGGTCTGGATGGGCTGGAGAAATCCTGTTGGCTACAGTTTTCTAAGAGAAAAAAACCTTCCCCCATTATTCAAGTAAAAACATACAAGTTGAGAATTTGAGGGGAAAAAGGCGCTATCACAGATGTAGTTACTGTTGGATAAATGGTATATTTCCTTCTAGTTCTTTTCTGCATGGGGGTGGGGGGTCCACCAAATCATTAAATTTAGCATATGAACATTTTCCCAGGTTATTAAGTTTGTTCTCCAGGAACACTACTTTAATGCCTACATCATATTCAAGCTCTGGAAGTGCCTGCCCCCTTGGGTCAATTTGCTGTACATCATGGGGAGCATCCTCTTCTACATCAGTCTGTAGTGACATCCCTGACTGGCTCCTTGCATTGCATTATGAGAAATGATTGTATGTACTCAGTAGGACAGTAGCCTCTTTATTTATTCATGTTTTGTGTGGGTTTTGCTTACTTCTTTCCATCTTTCAGACTGGTCCTGTGACTGTGTGAAGAACTGAGCAAAGTGGTTTATTCCACAGAAATTAGGTCTTCTTTAGGAGTGACCATGAGTCAGGAGTGGGATCCAGGACTTCTGTGGTCCCAAGTAACTAGGTTATCTCTACCTTTAGCCCAGCACCTGTAGAGATGCTGAACCTGAAGCTCCGACGGCCATCCTTCAGTGATGATATTGACCTCAATGCTACCTTTGATGTGGATACCCCTCCAACCCGGCCCTCCAGTTCCCAGCATGGCTACTCCAAGAAGCTCTGCCTGGAGAAGGCACAGTGAGTGGTAGTCCATGGCAGTTCCCAGGATTTGGAGGGGAATAGCTAAGACATCTCTTCAAGTCCTGCCGTTATAGCTCTGAGTGATTGATGGAGTAGTGAGGGTTGCCTGGGCTTAGCTATTGCTTTGGTTCCTCCTCTTTCCTGGCCTGAGTACTCAATCTATGCAAAACCCTTCTCTTGCTTATCTCATTAATAGTTATCATCATTCTTTAGTCCAGTGTTGGAATGTGAGTCAGACGGAATGTAGGGGTCCCAGTAGGGGCAAGCCTGGGTGTGGGAGCAGGTGCTCCCTTGGGTGGCTACCCACCAGTCCTGAACCAGTCTCTGAACTTCTTCCAATGTGTTGCCTCTGAAGCTCATGATTAAGGAAGGACCATCTCAAACAGTGGAGCCAAAGGTCCTATTACCTAGGAGGCTACCCCATATAGGCAGACATGAGGAGCTATGTAGAACTATAAGAGGGCATGTGGGACCTTCTCTAAAGGAAAAGTAAGGCTGTCTCATTGGCCAGGCACACTAGTATGGTTCATTGTGAAGATAAGAACTGTGCCCCTTTATACATGTATGTATGTGATACTCAGATAAGGAAAGTTTTAATTGGAGACTTTAGGTATGACAGAAAGAAACTGAGATGTTAGGCAGTGGAGATGAAAGAGGGCAAAAAAACAAGCCAGTTGGGCCATCCACCCTTCCCAACCTCAAGTATATAAGCACCCATGCTGTATAAGGGCTGGCCTGGTAGCATTGAGAAACAAACTTACATGTGAGCTGTAGCAGGGAGCCTGTCATCAGTGCCTCCTTCATAATCTGGCTTCTTCCCGTTGCCTCCTCTTCAGCTGTAAAGTTCGAAGGTGGGCACCTGGAGTCTTCAGGTTGGCAGGCCTTTTAGACACTTTCTCCATCTCCAGAGGTTATGGGCTAGTGAAAAAGCATTGAATGCCCCTGACTCAAGTCAACCTCCCCAGAGCCAGACTTGTAACAAGTGGGAAGTTTTCCCATGGTTATCATGTGGCCTTATCACAGAGGAGTCTAGAGTCAGCAGGCCCTGCTCCTACTCTATTTTCATGGCTTAAGCCATAGGGGAGCCAGGTGCTGATGGCTCAAGCCTGTAATCCAAGCTACTCAGGAGGTAGAGATCAGAGAATTGCAGTTCAAAGCTAGCCCAGGCAAATTGTTCATGAGACCCTATCTCGAAAAAAACCCTTCACAAAAAAAAAAAAAAAAAAAAAAAAAGAAAGAAAGAAAGAAAAGAAAAAGGACTGGTGGAATGGCTCAAGGTGTAGGTCCTGAGTTCAAACCCCAGTACCACAAAAAAGAAAAGAAAAGAAAAGAAAAAGAAACCATGGGAGCCGAGTACCAGTGGCTCACACCTGTAATCCAAATACTTCGGAGGATAGCGGTTTGAGGCCAGCCCAGGCAAATAGTTCATGAAACCCCCATCTCCAAAATAATCAGAGAAAAATGGACTGGAGGTGTGGCTCAAGTGATACAGTGCTTGCTTTGCAAGCACAAAGCCCTAAGTTCAAACCCCAGTCCAAGAAGAAGCCACAGGCCCAGCCTTAGGTCACAATCCTTCTACTCATCTGGAAAAATACCAGGTGTCTAGTTGCTAGGGTCCTTAGGAATTGGATGGAAACAGTGTCCAGCTCTAGGGCTAGGAGTAGAAAGCCAGACCCTGGAGCCTTGCTCTATTATGTCCCAGACTCTTCCTGCACAGATTCTTTATGGAGATGACCTGGCTCTGTGTTCTAAGAGTACTTTATGGAATGCCTTGATGAGGGTCTTACTAAGAAGCTAACTTGCTGAGGGTCTTATGGGGGTAGTGCCCCTCTCTGGGCAAATAGGACAAGGACTGAGCTCATTTTGATGCCTTCTGCCTACATGAGGGCATGACTAACCTTCCTCCTGCGATTGGTGAGTTGTTTGGGCTTCCCAGCCCCATGTAGATCCTGGGAACATGGTGAAGTACCCAAGAACTTGAAATGAAGCCACAGATTGAGACACAGTCCAATCTACCCTGTCTCTGCCACTGTTCTGTACAGCTATTCACAAACCTACACTTGGGGTAGAGACCACTGAGGCATCTTGCCAGAACACAGTCATGACAGCAACCATGCCATGCATTGGCTCCCTTAAGGGGCATGAACTGAGCCTGGCACTCGTGTTTTGTTTACCTGCCTCTTGCCTTCATGTCTTACTCTTGTAGCTCTCCTGTTCAGGATGTCCTCAAGAAGATCCCCAAAAGACCCAAGCAGGTAAGGGCTTCCCAGAAAAAGTACAAGCATTCACCATCTAGTCTTTGCCAGGACTGAACATGAATAGCTGGACTTTGGGAAGGACAAATTCATATCAGAGCCCCTTTCCTTGGCCCAGGACTGAGACTTTTCAGAGCCACCTTTGGAGCCCTACTTATTATCCTTCCTGCCTCCTGGGGTGTCATTAGAGAGCTTGACCTTATTCCACCACCACTTTCTCCTTTGCTGCCATCTGGCTCTTCACATCTAGCTCTGGGGTCTCCCCTGCAGGAGTCCCAGCTCTCTCTGGGTGGCCAGTGCTGTGTAGGAGAGCCAGATGAGGAACTGGCTGGTGCTTTCCCTCTCTTCATCCGGAATGCTGTCCTGGGTCAGAAACAGTCCAAGAGGGCCATGTCAGAGTCCTGTTGCAGCACAGATGCGGTGAGTATGGCTTCCCACAAGAGGCATGTACCAGGCCACTTGGATGGGGTGAGGTAGCCAGCCTGTTAGACCATTATTCTGGCCCACTTATTTTTTCCTTCTGCCCAAGGTAAGAACAGGCTTCGATGGACTTGGAGGCAGAACAAAATTCATCCAGCCTGTATCCTTGTTCTGTGGTGGTGGGCTAAGGTGAACTGTGGAACCTATACCATGTCTGACTTGTACTCTCAACCTCTGACAGCCAATGCCTGCTGCCAGAGATATGCAGAGCTAAGCCTTGCTCAGTGTAGCAGGACTGCTCACCCCCACGTCTGAGCTTTTCCTGCCCTGCATTCCAGTCCCCTCTCTAGGCCTCTTCCTTGACATCTTCACCAGACAGACCCAACCATGATCCGCCCACTCCCTGTAAAGCCCAAGACAAAGGCTAAGCAGAGAGTGAGGGCAAGGACTGTGTCTTCCTCTCAAGCCAAGCTGGATACCTTCCTGTGGCAGTGAGAACAGTGAGCAAGCAGTGGCCAGACTCATGCTTCTAATCAGTAGGTCAAGAACTGGCCAGGTTTGGGGGATGGCCCCTCTTCTAGAAGAAGCCCTGAGAGCAAGGGCAGAAGAGCAGATGAGGATGAGAATGACTCTAAGACTTTGCACTTCTTGCACTTAGTCAGCCCTACCTCACCACACTGGGCTTGCTTTTGGGAGCTGTCACAACCAGCTTACCATTTCAGTCAGAAGGGCTTATTCCTAGTTGTGGGCTCCTGTTTAAAGTCATGATCAGATGTGGCTGGGCTCCTTCTAGTCCTAGAGACTAGGGTCACTTGATTGTATGGACAAAAATGCTTGAAGCTTCTCAGGCAGCTGGGCCTGAGCTTCTGCCTGCCTCCAACTTGTAACTAGGCATGGCCTGAACCAAGAGGATGGGGAATGGGGGGGTGATGGTGGGGAGAGGATGGGGGAAGATTTCTATGTAGAATAAAAATGATAAAATCTTTTCTGCCTGGTTCTGGAAGTGTAAATTTGTATAAAAACTTTGGAAAAGTGGCATGACTTTTCTTTTCTTTTCTTTTTGAACTCAGGGACTTGTGCTTGCCAGGCAGGCACTCCACCACTTGAGCCCCCCAGCACCTAGCATGACTTTCTAAAGCAGAATGTATGTAATCTAGACTTAGACCTAGCAGTTCATCTCTCTGAGAAGGCACAAGGAGACTCTAGCTAGAATGACATCACTGTAGCTTGAAGGCCACAAGCAGGAAATTGAATGAGTAACTAAAGAACCATCCATACAGGGCATTCATGGCAAAAACAATAGTGACCAAATTGCTAGCCTTTGGTCTTGACCTCAGAATGCTTTCTCCTAGAGTACCTCCCTTCTTGACTCCTAGTCTGGGTGAGGCTTTCTAAACTTCTCTCTCCAATTATTGGACAGGAGTTTAGCTGTTTCCTCAGGGCTTAGCATGGGCCTGGCACAAGGATGAGAGTTATAGGAAGTGAGAGAATGCTTCAGGTTGATGGTGTCCAGAACCTCACCAGCAAATCTAGAGGAGCATGGGGATCTATGGGAAGGAGAAGAAGTCTTGGTTATGGATGTTGGACCCCTCTGTGACTGACAAACCAAAGAGGTTTAGTGAGGGGAAGTACAGCATCAAGTTGAAAGAGTAGAGGCTGACTGTTAGCACACTCTGTAGCTGCTGAGTGATCTTAGGTAAAGTAAATTAGCCTCTCTATGCTCAACTATGAAATGGGGACAATAGCACCAACCTTCTAGTGATGAGTATCTATTGAGTCAGGGTATAGGTTAAGAATTTATGACAACTAAATGAAGTAAGTTAGATACAAAAGGACAACTACTATATGATTCCACTTGTATGAAGTATCTACAATGGGCAAATTCATAGAATTAATAAAATAGGGTTCACCAGGAGCTACAAGGAGGGAAACTGGAGTGTTACTGTTTAACAGTCAGAGTTTCTGTTTGGGATGAAAATGTTTTGGAAGTAGACAGAGGTATGTGTTAGTTACTCAAAAAAAGAAATTTAAGACAGACCAAAATACATGGAAGGACATCCTGTTCTTGTGGATTAGAAGACTTAATATTATTTATTTATTTTTATTCATTTATTCACAGGTGCATACATTGTTTGGGTCATTTCTCCCCCCTGCCCCCCCACCCCCACTCTTTCTCCCCCACCCCCATGTTAATATTATTAAAATAGCAATAATTCTACAAAGCAGTCTACAAATTCAATATAATCCCTATTAAAGTTTCACTGGTGGCCAGGCATGGGGGCTTATGCCTGTAATCACAGCTACTGGAGAGCTGGAGATTGGGAGGATTACAGTTTGAGGCTAACCCAGGCGAAAAGTTACTGAGACTCTATCTCAACAAAACAAGTGGTGCATACCTGTGATCACAGCTACGTGGAAGGCATAGTAGGAGGATTGAGGCTGGTTAGGCAAAAATATAAGACCTTATTTGAAAAATAAACTAAGGCAAAGAGGCATGGCTCAAGTGGTAGAGCTCGTGAGGCCCTGAATTCAAACACTGTATTTAAAAAATGTCCTCTAGGCCTGATGGAGTGGCTCAAGTGGTAGAGTGCCTGTCTAGCAAGCTCAAGGACCTGAGTTCAAACTCCAGTGCTGCCAAAATAATAATAATAATAATAATAATAATGGCCTTTATATTGCAGAAATAGAAAAGCTGATCTTCAAATTCATATGAATTGTGAGAGGTCCTGAGTAGTCAAACCAATTTAAAAAGAAAAAAAAGAAATGAGAAATTCTATATAAATTTAAAACTTACTGGGCTGGAGGCGTGGCTCAAGCTCTGCCTAGCAAGCACAAAACCCTGAGTTCAAACCCTAGTATCGTTAAAAAAAAAAAAAAAAAACCAACTACCTAACACTGTGGAGTGCAGTCATAAATAATGGTGGAGTGAGAAGCTCTAGGGGTTGGTCCCTTGAACAAAGCAGTCATTGAACTGGAAGGAGCAGTTACTACAATCAACTATTTCAAAACTCTGGACCCCATCAGATATTTGACAAGAGGTGATGGGTAAAGGACAGAGTGCTATTCTTTGATAAGAGAGCAGTGTAAGTTGAGCAGCCACCACCCCAGTTCCTCAGCTCCACTATGGTTATAGAGACAACAGCCAGTTCTAGAATCAGCTGACTGGTGCCAGAGCAAGCAGCAGGGACCCTGCCTCCAAAAATCTGGGATTGAGCATGTGAGTGCATCTGGTGAAACTCTGAGGTATTTGCCTTGATTTTTCTGTGTCCCCCACCCCAACACACACACACTCCAATCTCTCATTAGACTGACAGTGTCTTTTTTTTTTTTTTGCCAGAAAGCCTTTCTCAAGTCACTGACTACAGAGATAAAAACAAGGAGCACACATCTGAGTACAGATTACATCTGTAATCCTAGCTATATACAAGATCTATGTGAAGAAAACCAAAACTGATTAAGTAAAAACTAAATATTTGGAAAGTTGTTACATGTACATGGACGGAAAGACTCAGTATTAGCTAGGCAAGTGTTGTGGCACATGTCTGTAATTGTAGCACTCAGGAGACTGAGGAAGGAGGATCACGAGTTTGAGACCCAGTCTGGAAAGCAAAGACTGGAGATGTGATTCAAGTGGTAGAGTGCTTGCCTAGCATGTATGGGGCCCTTAGTTTATACCCTAGTACCACAAAAATAAGACTCAGTGTTGTCACAATATAATTTCTTTCCAACTTGATCTATAGATCCAACATAATCCCAATAAAAATCCCAGCAAATTTTTATTCTGTGGTTTATATGGAAAAGTAAAAGATGAAGAATAGCTAACACAATGTTGAATAAAGTCAGAAGACTAGCACTTCCTGGCTTTAAGACTTGCCAACCTGGGCTGCATAGGAATATCTTGTCTCAGGAAAAACAATACAAAACAAAAGAAAAAAAGCTTACCATAAGAACCAAGCCAATATAGTACTGGCAAAAGTAGACAGATCAATGGAACAGAAAAGAACCCCAAAATAGATCCACACAAATAGAATCAATATAGTCTTTGAAAAGGAGCAAAGTCAATTCAGTGAGAAAAGAGTAGTCTTTTCAACAAATGGTGCCAAAACAATTGTACTTCCACCTGAAAAAAAAAAAAAGTAGACATAGACATATCTTAGACCTTATACAAAAATTAATTCAAACTGTCAAGGACAAAACTATAAAATTTCTAGAAGCCAATGTAGGAGAAGACAATATCAAAATCATGATCTGGAAGTGTGGCTCAGGTGTTAGAGCACTTGCCTAGCAAGTACGAGGCCTTGAGTTCAAACTCTACCAACAAAACAAAAACAAAAACACCCTGGGTTCAATCTCCAGCACCACAAGGAACAACAACAACAAAAAAAAAACCAGCTCTGTGAAAGACATTGTAAGAGAACGAAAAGACAAGCAATAGTTAGGAAGAAAATCTTTCATGAAATACATATCTGATGAAGGACTGGTATCCAAAATACAGTCATGTGCCCGATAGCAATGTTTTGATCTATGACAGACTATATGATTCTGGTCCCTAAAGATTTTATATCATAGGAGGCTATAGTGGTCTTACTTGTGTAAGTATACTCTTTACTGTTCACAATGATGAAGATGCCTAAAGACATGTTCCTCAAAATGTGTCATTCCATTATTAAGTAATACATGTTTGTATATAAAAACTTTTTTTGGGTGGAACTGGGTTTTGAACTCAGGGCCTCATGTTTGCAAAGCAGGTTTTCACAAAGCAGATGCTTTACCACTTAAGTCATACCTCCAGCCCTGTTTTGTGTTGGGTATTTTCTAGATGGTCTTGAGAACTATTTGCCCAGACTGGTTTTGAGCCTAGATCTTCCTGATCTCTGCCTCCTGAGTAGCTAGAATTACAGACATAAGCCATCAAGTGCCTGGCACTTCTGGTTAATTTTGGAGATGGACTCTCACGAACCATTTATCTAGGCTGGCCTCAAACCACGATCCTTTTGATCTCAGCCTCTCAAGTACCTGGAATTACAGGTATGAGCCACAACACTTAGCTATAAGAACTCTTAAAACTCAACAATAAGAAAACAAACTACCCAATTTTAAAAATGGGTAAGAGAGCTGAACACACTCCTTATCAAAGATATATAGATGGTAAATAAGCATATGAAAAGATGTTCAACATCATGTCATCAGAGAACTGCAAATTAAAATAATAAGGTATCACTGCATGCCTATTCCATTTGCTAAAATTCTGGCAATGCCAAATAGTGGCAAGGAATGCTCATTCATTGCTGGTGGGAATGTAAAATGGTATAGTTATTTAGAAGGCATGTTGGCAGTTTCTTATGAAGCCAAACATCATCTTATCATAATCTAGCAATTGTGCTCCAAGGTATTTACCCAAATTAGTTGTTTAAAAAAAAAAACTCATCCATACAAAAGTCTGTACATGAATATTTACAGTAAATTTATTCATATTTGTCAAAACTTGAGAGCAAAAAAGATGTCCTTGAATAGGACAATCCACTGGGAAGGAGAGATATGGGAACTCCTTATTCACAGGGATGCCTGCCAAGGAACTAGGGTGTAGCAGCTGCTATGAGTTAAGTGGAAATTCACTGAAATCTACCAGCCTCTTCATCAGTCTCTTCCCTGGACAGGGAAAGAGTTCTATTAGATACCAGAATTCCAAAGTAATTGATTTAAGATAGTTTTGACCAATTTAATTATTTTAGCAGAGGTATGGATTCCTGGAGCTTTAACATTATTTTCAAACAACACATACTTAAACACTGGGTCAATTATAGGGAAAATTACAAAATGCTTTGAGATGAATAAAAATGAAAGTTCAATACACCAAAATTTATAGGATGCAGTAAAAGATGTACCAAGAGAGAAATT